CTGGGTCCATGACTGATCTTTGTCTCTAATCTCCTCCTCGCACGATCTCATCCATGTCACCCTCGGATGACCCACTCGTTGCTTCCTGAGCACTGTGGTAAAGTGTAATTCTATCAATCGAATAAGAGTCGTAATTTGTAGCGAAATATTTTTCAAATGTTGGTTTACATGGATTTGATTGGTTACGGGATTTTAGAGAATAACTGGGGAGCTAGGACTCTTCTGCAGTACGCACCCACTGGCATTCGAATGCAAGACCTTCCGGTTACAAGATAAGCCTATAGACCACTCAGTAGCTGGGACCTGAACCGGCAGCCTATGAATTCCAAATTCTGCCAACTGATATATTGCACAACCAAGAGCCAACATCACCAATGAGTAACACCAGATTAATTATCAAGTTTTCGTTTGTAGGGATTTGAATGGTTAGAGGTCCCAGTGGCTGAATGGTCTATCATCTGCTCACCTTTTAATCGAAAAGTCTTAGATTCTGGCATCCAGGTGGGTGCGTACTGATGAAGAGCCTCTCCAAAGCAGCTGTCCAGTACTTCCTATTTGTTGGCTCTGTTGATTACATCTGTAAAAGCATATTTTTAAATTTACCGCTTCTTTACTGAATTAATTTTGAGAATTAATTATTTCTTAAAACGTATTTTATGATTACATTTATAATTTCGATTCGTTTCATTCTCATTAAGATTAAACATTCAAGTACACTTTGCTTTTCTGTTAATATGTAAACAATCAACTCAATTAACATTTGTGTGTGTATGTGTGTGTATATGTGCGTGATTGTTTGTTGGTGTATGTCGGCTTGTATCATCTTTGGCTTGCAGTTTATATAAAGGTCACTAAAATGTTTACTTTTCAAATTATGTTAATTTTCAATTTCAAACATAAATATTTATTGTTTATTTACATGTTACGTGACGAATTTACTTACGCTTTTTCACTATTTCTAATTATGATTGCATAACTTTAGTTTGTCTTTGCATCAGTCGGTTTAAACAACTCTCGGCGGCCCGCTTAAAACTTAAACTACTGAAAAACCTCCGTCATTGTATTTCGCACATAATTTCTCTTATTCGGTGCGTCGGTGACACAGCAGTAGCATGCTGGACGACCACGCATGTGGTTCACGGTTCGATCCCTGGCCGGCGACTTCCTTTACCTCGCTAAGCCGGTAATAAGACTGGTAAAGAGGAAAGATTGGGCATGTAGCTGGCAATCCCATCCTGCAAAAATATTTATTATCTTTTTATTTATTTTTGATTACAGCTTAATGCTACATCATATTTTCAGTATAAGTATGGAATTTTCAGCATGGATATAGGTAGCCCAAATTTTGCAGGCCGGCCATAGATATCGGGTGTGCGTCGGCAGGGGATCAAACCCCGGACCATGTGCATGGTCGGCGAGAGTCCTAACCACTGTGCCACCGACGCACACCACTGCTATCGAAACTCCAAAGCGCTAGCTTGAAGCCCTATGTTCCATTAGGAATGTGAAGGAACAAAAGAAATTTCTCTCATTCAGTATGTGTAAGTCTGATAAACTACAACCTCCAACAGTATCTATTTTACTCTCGACATCATTTAAAACATTTAAAATCTGCTCATTCACAAGTCTCTACTAAACATGACATAAAGCATTTTCCACGATGGATGACAGCTTATCCCAGTACATCAGATAATCCTTCCTGGCCGCTATCCTGGGCTCACAAAATGTACTCCACAACATTCTGTAATTGGCATTAATCAAGAAAATGTCGTCGTGTATTTCTCCAAGGAGAAAAATCAGAGATATCATAATGAACTGGTTCACTCTTCAGGTCAGACAGAAGGAACTGTGTAACAAGATCTACTGTCAATTAATCTTTTTTATTTGAAGATCCTCGAGGAAGAGAAAATATGACGCAATAAACTCCGCGGAAAATTTTGTACATTATATAAACATTGTTTAGAATAAAGTCATAGTAATAATAATAGTTCAAGACTTGAATCCTAACCATATACGCGAGATGTCCCAACTAGAGACCCCTGATCAGTTCATTGCTTAGTTTACTAGCTGGTAGGAAACTCATGAAAGTGGTAAGGCTAGATATGAGGCTAGCGACCCCCTCCTCTCCTGTGAAAAACTACGCGACCGCTGCTAAAACTTCCCTGCTTAAAAACAACAAATGCAAAATTTCAGTTTATAAATCATTCGTGTATAATGATGCTTAGATTTTTTTTCGTTTTATTGGGTTGATGATGGTTAACAATGAATTCCCAGATGTACATTTCGTCCCATTCTAGACTCATCAACCACAACTAAGTCCATTCTTGTGAGTGATATATTATCCTTACAGGATCTATTAAGATTGAAAAATCTATGGGAGGTTTGAAAGCTTCAGTCAAGAATATTGAGAATTACTGATGAATCAGACGTTTAATAATATCTAATCTTCGTATAGGATCTTCAAGTAAAATGATATATTCAGCAGTACATCATGTGACGCTTTGTCTGTCTTCCATCTGAAGCGAAATCCAAATCTATACAATACTTTATCCTCCTTTCTCTTGAGAAATGCTCTTAATTATAGCAAACTAAAACGGAGTGTGAGTTCATATAGCGATGATCCATAAATACAGTTAGATAATTAAAACAATAAGAAAGGGGGAAGAGTTTATACATGTAGCTCGGATTATCAAATCTCCAGCACCAATAAAAACAAACAGTGACAGCCAAGATCCCACATTACTAAATAGGCGATTAGCTTCATATTGGGAAGCTGAATTTGGGAAATTTACTATGGAGTCATCTTGCTTACATAACTTTGATATTTCACCTTATAATTTTTGGACTGAAATGATCAACCCATTTCTCCGTGCAGTTTCCCGAACTACGAATAGTGTGATCAGTTACAGGATTTCATCATGAGCTGATATCCGTTAGAGAACCATTGAAAAACCTGGGAGTACTGGACAAGTTCTGGAATTCAGGGACTGGCTATTGGATTGGGTCTTTGTGGCTTAGTGGTCTACGAGCACACCTTGTAACCAGGAGGTGCTGGGTTCGGACCCCGTTGGATGTGTACTGCTGAAGAGTCCCAAACTAGGGTGCCGAAACATCTGTCCAGTACTCCCTGACGGTTTTCTAATGGTTCTGCAACCGTCATCAGGTCATAATGAAACCCTGTAACCAGTCAATCAAATCCCCAATACTTAGATAGCATGATCAGAGAAACCTTAATAAATCATAGGTTAAAGACCACTTGTCACTTAAATAATGGAATAGTAAAGCATTCGATTTCATTACTGTTTGATGCAAATTATGGCCTTCAAGAGAAAATAACTTTCTTCAAGTTTAGAAATAGAATTTTCTGACAATTACACTAGCAGCAAACTCAATATCTAAACAAAGCATCACTTTTTACCAAGTAACTATAAACATCATCTTTGTGATTTCCTGTTAATACATCTAACAGAATTGATTAACCTCAGTCTCGGTACATGACCTCCTGACTGGATGTCTTGATATTGCCAAGACTAATAACGACAAGCTACTTGTCTTGGTGGTGGCTTGGGATAGAATCGTGGGCACAAGTATCACCCTATTTCCAACTCGTCATCTAGGTCTACCGGTATCCAATCAAGTGATGTTATTCCCCATGAAACTCAAACCAAAAGTTTTCCACTAGGCTAGATGAATTATACCACATTGTTTATTGATAAAACTATGCTCCCGATGAATAGACTTTGGTGTGATGGCTGAAGACTGAAGGTGTGATAGATAAAAGACTGACTGTGAGAAGTCGTGACCAGTAGGGTGCAGCAGGTCGGGTGTGAGGACAAATACTCGCCGAAGACATTCGCTAGGGGTCGCGCTATGTCGTGAATTGACAGAAGTTAGAATTCATGCACTGGCCATTGGATCGGGTCCCAGTGGCTTAATGGTATACGAGCTAGCTCGCCTTGTAACCAGAAGATCCTGGGTTCGAATCCCGGTGGGTGCGTACCGATGAAGAGTCCCAAAGTAGGACGAAAGTGCTGTTCAGTACTCCCAGGTATTCCAGTGGTTCTCTAACTAATGTTAGCTCATGATGAAAATCCTGTAACTAAAAGACTGACTTATAGTAGGTCGTATGACACAGTTCCTTCTATCTGACCTGGAGAGCGAACCAGTCCATCATGATATCTCTGATTTCTCTCCTTCGAGAAATACACGACAACATTTTCTTGATTAATGCCAATTACAGAATGTTGTGGAGTACATTTTGTGGACCCAGGATACCAGTGAGGAAGGATTATCTGATGCACTGGGATAAGCTTCTATCTTTCGTGGATAATGCTTTATGTCATGTTTAGTAGAGACTTGTGAATGAGCAGATTTTAAATGTTTTAAATGTTGTCGGGAGTAAAATAGACAGTGTTGGAAGTTGTAGTTTACTAGAATGAAACAAACTGAATAAGAGAAATTATATGGAATACACGATGATGGAGGTTTTTCTATAGTCCTTCTCCTATCAACCGTAATCACATACTGAATTAAAAAGTGAAGTGTAAGAGACTTCATTTTTTAGTAGCAGTGGTGTTTCTTTTACGTGATGGGTTCGCTAGCTTCACGTCAGAGCTTCCCTCATTTAACGATTTTATTACAGGCTTAGAGAGGTAAAAAAGTGTGTCGGCCGGGGAGCGAGCCCCGAACCACATGCGTCGTTGGCAAGTATTCTACCGCTAAGACACCGACGCTAAGAAACTGTATTAGTTTTGGTATATATTACAATTTCAACATATTTTAGATTTCAAATATAGGAAATCATTTTGAATTATGTAATTTTGGCAAACATCTGCGTAACTTAGAAACCAGACACTAAATTTGTTTATTACTTGATTTATTTCTATCACATTAACAGCCTACACTTGAAAAGTTATCTCAGAGATAATATTGAACGACCTACTTTTACTCAATGTCCAATTTGAATTTGGTTATCTTGTTTCAATTTTTCCCTTTCACAGTTTAATTTGGTGTTCAGTTTATCATGGTGAATTGGCGGACCAATTGATTAGAAAACCGGATGAATTACGTGCTAAAGAGTTATGTAATAGCAACATTAATTGTACTAGTAAGGCAGCATCTGTATCAAATACAAATCGTATTAATAATTTAATATGGCTTAAAATTCCTATTCCAAGGACAACGGCGTCGACAACAACTGAAAAGACACAGGCGACACAGTCCAGTAACAAAAAACGCACATCATCATTACCATCATCATCATCGTCACCACCATTAACACAATCACAAACACCTAGTTATGCTACAAATACAATAAATTTACTATCTATAATCTATCATATATTTCTGCCTATTTCTTATGAATTTGGACCAGATCTAGTCTATTTATTGATTGGATCTAATGAAGATGATTATGTGAGTCGTTAAGTATAATTTGTTTTTTTTTTGAAGATTTCATTTCATTTGGGTATCTGATAACTGGTTGTTCTGTCGTCTTTCGTTCCTCTTTTTTTTGTTGTTTCTTGTCCACTTTTTGTTGCTGTTAACATAACAAAATCGTAAGGTTGTTTGATTACACTTAAGTGTTTAATATTCTTTTATTTTTTCGGCAATCTTAGTTAGACATGTGGACAGCTTTCACTGCCTTTAGAGTTTAACCCTAGGACCTTACTGACGACGGCACCAACAAACGTGAAAGTCAGGTGCATGGCATCCTGTCGATTGCCTTTATCAGGTATCTAGCACCATTTCAAAATCCATCATGATGGCGAGTCCCCTAGTGATATGACCATTTAACCTATAGAAATCATTTAAATAAATAAGGCATCATTCTGTGGTTCTTCCACGTTCGCTTTACAACTAACATTTTTTTATATTTCCTTCACGTTCCCCAGTGGAACATAGGGCTCCAAGCTAGTCGCTTGAAGTTTCTGTAGCAGTGTTTATTTTTACAGGATGGGGTTGCTAGCCTCATGCCCAACCTTTCCTCTTTACCAGCATTATTTCTGGCTCAGCGAGGTAAAGGAGTGCGTCGGCCGGGGATCGAACCCTGGACCATGTGCATGGTCGGCGAGCGTCTTAACGACTATGCCATCGACGCAAACAACTAACATGGTTCACAAAAATAAAATGAAAATGTAAGACCATTTGAAGCAATTTGTTAGATGGTGACGAGCAGTGGATAACGCAGGATAACGCACATTTCGTCCTGTTTCTGACTCATCAGCCATTGAATAGATGTACCTGCATTCTCCAGTGAGTCAGTGAGCGATGATGTCTCCACTGAAGGTCGAACCTAGTACGTATCATTTCAAACGTTAAAGCATTATCCACTAGACGACCTACTGGGATATGAGAGACACTTCTTTCTTGTGCAATGGGTATCAGTAATTATATAATTCACTTTAGAGTTTCCCGTTGATTGACTGGACTGAAATTTTCAGCCCCCAAATTGAATTTAATGTATGACAATTGCTCAGTTATATAAAATAAAAGTACATAATAATAACCAATCATATTTTAGTAGGTCAAGTAGTTCATGGTAGGCATAAGTTGAAGTCTATTGTTTTCTGTACACATATAGTTAGGGATGAATGTGATTCATCCGAAGTGTCTCCATCATCGTCAATAACCTTGAATTAGAGTTATGTGAAATAGTCGTGAAGCAGTTTTGAATATTGATTTTTCTAATCAGGCCTGAATAAATCCTTTACAATGGATGATGCTGGATTTCTATTCCGATTAAGTGTATTTAGGTTTTCTATGTGTCTTAATAACCACTTTGGAACATGTTCTTTTCAACGACCACATTGGAACATTCTATTGATTCTACCTGTTTATGTGTCACCGTAAATGCAGGTGAACTTATCGATTCATTGTGAAGTGGAGTCCACAGAATTCCGTCCTTTAACCGTAGGTACAGCTGTACGACAACGGCACATGTCAAGTGATCCACAACGGAAAACTCAGCGAGGTGTTTGGAGTAAACACAGGAATCAGACAAGGGTGCTTATTATCACCAATGATGTTCATAATTGTGGCGGACTGGATTATGTGTCAGACAGTGGTAAACGAGAAGACAGGGATATCCTGGATCGACGTGAAGAACCTAGAAGACCTGGATTTCGCAGATGATTTATGTTTGATTTCACACAAAATCGAAGACTTACAAACGAAAACCTACAAACTGGTCGAAGAAGCAGCCAGAGAAGACAGGACTCCAGGTGAACATAGACAAGACAGAGGTTATGAAAATAACCAACCAACAACAACAGCAGCAACATCCAGCGCCAATTAACATCAACGGGAGGGATTTGAAAGAGGTTACTTCATTCACTCGCTCATCTAGGGAGCATTGTCTCAACTACAGGAGGAATGGACGAGGATGTCAAATGAAGAATCGGGAAGGCGAGAAACACATTCATCAACCTGTAACCAATCTGGAAATCTTCGTCACTCAGCCTGCATCAACAACAAAATTCGGATTTTCAATACAAACGTCAGTCAAGTCAGTTCTTCTATACGGATCAGAAACTTGGCGGGTCACAAAGAATATTTCCAACAGGTTGCAGACCTTTATCAACAACAATGTCTTCGCTCTATACTGAAGATCAGATGGCCGGAAAGAATCACCAACAAGAAACTATGGGAACAAACAAAGCAGGAACCAATCGCCCAACAAATATGCAGGAGAAAGTGGAGATGGATTGGACACTCGCTGAGGAGGCCCCTGGGTGACATCGCGCATCAGGCCAACGCTCGAGTGGAACTCGAAAGGGGAGTGGGGTGTGGGACGTTCAAGGGTGACATGGAGGAGATCGTGTGAAGAGGATTTGAAACAGTATGGACTAACATGGATGCAAGTGAAAAATATATCAGAAGACAGAAGCAAGTGGAGACGTGCAGGTGAAGCCCTATGTTCCACTAGGAACCCAAGGGAACAATAATAATAAATGATAATAATAATACAGGGGTATAAATGCCCGAGATATGAGGAAAGGGGATATTTGACCGAAGCGTTTGAATTGTAAAATTGCATAATCTGACCACCCTTGAATAGAAATTTAATAAAGATAGTCTTCATTGGCATAGAACATGTCTTTTCAAGGGTTATTCTCTCTCTGCTGCCAATAAAACTGAATATATGCGCTGTCTTGCATTCAGCTTTATTATTGTGAACCGTGTTAATTGTAAAGAGATTGTAGAGAAACTTCAAAATGAAGATATCATCTGGCGATAGTTGTCTTCTCAGTACCTTATTTAATTTAACCAAAGGAACTGACTGTTTCAGTTACGGAATTCATTTAGCGGCGAGGTTAGAAACGAAACATATGATATCAGTTATTCCGTAGTAACCATCAGTGAATCCTATTTTGAAGATTGAAGTGAAATGCTGACGTGTTAAGCCTTCTGAGTAGAAAATCTTATAAACGTTTGTGTATCAAATACTGTTTCTTTTACTGACTACCTACCCAGGTCTCTGTAATCAGTGATTGATTTCGATAAGAAACTTCGTTGATATTTCGCAGTTTAATCAAGTTACACGTTAGTGTTCTTTGAAGTGAGGACAGAAGTGGGACAAGGTTGTCGACTATCGCCGATGATATTCTTTGACTGTGGTGGACTGGATCATGTAATAGATGGTGGGTAGTGAGAAGACAGACAAAAGGACTCTAGAAGATGTAGACTTCACAGGTTATTTATGCCTAATGTCACACAAACTCGAAGGTGTAAAGGTTAAAATCGATAATTTGACAAAAGAGACAGCGAAAACAGGACTTCAGGCGAACATAAGGAAGACAACAACGAAAACCCCAGTTACCCTCAACAAGAGAAATTCAGAAGAAATCATCTCCTTCAATTACTTGGTCGGACAATATCATTTCAAATACAGTCAACAGGGATGATGATGATGATGTCAAAACCAGGCAACCAGGATCGGAAAAGCAAGACGACTATTCATTACTTTGAAATCGGTTCTACTTAGATCTACAGCACTCAGTACAAAATTTTTAACCCTATTGTCAAGTCAGTGAGTATTTCAAAGATTTGGTATGTGAATCGCTAACTGCCGACTTTCATCAACACCTGTTTATAGCTCGATAATGAAGATTAGATGGCCAGACAGAAAGGGTAATCAATAAAGGCAACAAACTAGCCTAGAACCTTTTACCCGACAAATACGCAGGAGGAGTGAGTGTGAAATGGATATACAGTTAGGAGACCGTTAGGTGACACCACACGCTATGCAGGCCCCAGAGTGGACGCAAAATTGAAAGTGACCAGTTGTGTATGCGGAGGTTACATGTTGCAATACTCAAATACTCTCACAGAATTTTTCATTGATCTCTCCTGCGAAATTCATAGCAATAGGTTGAGTAGAAATTATGGCTAAGAGACGTTATTGGAAGATTTAAAACAGTATGCTGTAGAGTGAATATTATGGTGAACCCAAGCCATGCATCCCAACCAGAGCCGTCTTTTAAGATTATCCACAAGGTGATAACGAATGGTACAAAGGGCGTTAGCTTTCGGTATTTGTGTATGGCGGAGGCGTTGGCAATTCGTCAACACAACTCCGAACTCTGTATATAGAAAAAGTTTGTCCAGTCTCTTATGCTACCATGCACTTAACCTCTTCATTAACTTTTCCCCTATAAATTTTTACTTTTTAAAAGTTAATTCACTATTATCACTCTCACATGTTCCTTTTGTACGTTTTCTCACCCTCCTGACACTTGTTAAATGGACACTCAACTGCCTTTCTTCTCACTCAGTAACAATTTTAACCTTATCAAATTTCTAACCCTCTCTTTCTTTGTGGTGTTGAGTATTACGTAATTTATAACTTTTATTTTTACTTTTGAAGCCATTTCTGAGTAATTGTATCAATTATGTCACCCCTCCTGTTACTCAGTAACTGACTACTATAATTTCTTTGGTTAATATAAATATTTCATACATTTGGTTCCCTTAATAAATTTCAATAGAGAAAGAAAGACCAGATTTACAGGATAAAATGTGATATCATTCTATTTCACAGGTTCTCATCAGCTGCAAACTACCTGAATTTACATTGCTTATAAAGAATGACATTTCATACTTCAATGTTTGAAAGGTAATAATGAAAACATTATAAGATGAACGCATCCGGAATATAAGTGTTACAATTTTTAGTTTAAGTTACCATCAAACTATGAAAAAAAGGGGGGTGAGAGAAGACAGAAAACAGAAAAATCTAATAAAAAGTGTTAGCTTGTAAGTCAACATGGCAACTCAAGAAGGTTAAAGTTCATCAAATTGAAAACTTCCTCAGTGAACTGAGCTCACTGATCTGTATGACTAATGAGTGTAATCAAAGTAATGCGGTTACCAAAGGAGTGAAGGATTGACTACACTCTCTTTCTGTGTGCATAAGTTTGGTCTGAGACGTTTGATTGCAATTGCTTCAGCGAATCGTAGTAGATTCGTTGTCCTTTGTATATTTAATATTTTGAAGGATTTGGACATCTTGACAAATTGAGCCGTATCCACATAGTGGGTGTCTGGTAATTGCACTTCCTTTGCTTCCTTTTAAGCATAAGTTTCTCGGAAGTCCTTCTTTCTGTCCTTCCGATGTACTTGCTGCCGCAGGTGCACGTCAATTTATAAATGGAGTTGGAGGTAACATCAGCAGTGTACTTATTCAGTTTTGACTGGCTTATAGAGCATGTAGTGCTGTATAGTGTCACCAGCTTGACTACAGGCAAGCATCTCATTATTGCTCCTTTCATCCTCTTTTCAATCCTTTGCAATACTGTTTCTCCTTTGTATGGGGGACAAATGAACACTTTCTTCTCTTCAACTTTTGGAGACTTCTCTTTCTCATCTTTTTCTTTGCTGTACTTTAGGATAAATCCTTTTGGATACCCGTTTTCCTTAAGGCATTTTTCAACAAAGCTTAATTCTTCTTCTACGTTGTTCGGCGAACATAACTTCCTGGCCCTGTTGTACAGTGTCTTTCTTTCTCCATTGAAATACAAATATAATTATACAGTCTGTGAAGATGACTTCGTCGATAAAGAAGAATTTTCTTCACTAAATTTGTCTTTTATTTTCTTCATGACTCAGTGGGTATTTTCGGTGTTTTGAACCACATCGAGATAGACAACATTTATCAACCGATAAGAAAGAAACCTCACACACAAAGGGTCAAAGTTCAAGTCAAAGAAACAATCAGTCCCAATACAAGTAGCCTAGAAGGTGTGAAAACACATAAAAAAACAACCAATCACGTCCAAGGTCACCGACCAGGAGAAATGATTATTAAACTCGTGGAGAAATCTAAAAGCTCACTTCCACAAATTGAAGTATACTCTGAAGATGTCGCCTAGTAGGGCGACCAAAACTTCGCAAATTAACTATCCAGTTCAGAGAATACAACCACATCAAAATCATCCACTTGAGCTACAAATCATCTCCATCATATCTGAACCATTCCTCCTAACAGATTATTACATCACAGTCTAACAAATAAATGGAAATACTACAGACTGAGAAATATACACACTAGGTCATGGGGAAAACTAAAGAAAATAAACGGTCGTTAGTCACGGCGAAAGTGGAAGGCAATTCCATTAAACTTCTCTCTGTGTAACACTTATACCTTCATTCTTTTTTCTGGTGTTCTTGTTTTTATCTAGAACTTCATCACACCAGATACTTCAGCACGACTCCTGTATCTGCTAAATGGTTTAGGCGCTGCTGTCATTGTCAGTGGAACCGCTCAACAATTATGTTCAGATTCTCTTGTAAGAAGTCTTCTAGGCAAACCTTTACCAACTGGATTCAATGAAACACAATCAACTTCACCATCACCGGGGTAAATTTTGCCGTTTCTTTTTAAAAAACAGTTGTTCTTATTGGTTGTTTCAATTATCTGCTTACCTGGACTTGGTCCCTAACACCTGACTGTGGAATTTGGTTATCTTGTAGACTAAAACAAGGAGACTTGTAACCCCTTTGTTACGACGATAAGTACCCATGGGGTTAATTTTATTCTTCATCAACCTACAATAGCTTTCATAGAATATGAGTTGTATCAGCACCGACGGATTGATTGGTGACGAGATCTCAGCACGGATCCAAAAAGCTCGGGCTGCTTTCGCTAACTTACACCGTCTCTGGCGTAGGCGTGACATCCGGCTATCAACCAAGGGACGTGTGTACGGCTCAGCAGTTCGCTCCGTCCTTCTCTATGGCTCTGAAACATGGCCAATACGAGCTGAAGACATGAAAAGGTTGACTGTTTTTGATCATAGATGTCTACGATCTCTTTCTCACGTTAGGAGGTGGCATAATAAGATAAGTAATGTTGACGTTAGACGTAGAGTGTTGGGCAAAGAGGGAAAATCAATCGACGAGTCTATAAAGTTACATAGATTGAGATAGCTAAGTCACGTATTGCGCATGCCTAACCATCGCCTCCCACGACAGACGGGCATTACTAGCTGATATAGGTGCAGGTTGGAAAAGAGTAAGTGGTGGCCAAACAAAGACATGGCCTCATCAATCCATGAAATCCCTGACAGTTAAACTGAGTCAGGTAGGGAGATGCAGACTTCCGGGTTGGGGCCCTCGGGACTCTAAGAATCAATGGCTGGAGACAGACAATAGGTGACATGGCTCAAAATTGTTGTCAATGGCTTACGCAGATGTATTCAGTCTCTGCAATCTCCCATATTCCTTTCTACCATTACTCATTCTGTTTCACTCTTATACTTGTCAAAACTCTATTGATTCTCTTCACTCATTTTCTTGTCTACCTTTGTGTGGTATTTGGAACGTGGCAACTCTCACTGCTGCACTTCAGTGCCAAGTTCTATGTTGAATCCAGCCAGCCAGCCAGCCAGAATATGAGTGAGAAATAATTAGAAATAACGTCATACTTTGGCTAATTTCGATCTAAAATCTGCTAATGACCTTTAATACACTTGGTAGTTTTCACTAAGGAACTACCTAACTAATCGATCTGTGAACCTAATGTTCTAATCACTATCAGCAACGACAACAGTAACAACAACATGATACGAAGACAAGGAGACAGACCGTTGACGTAGAGAGCTTTCACTGTCTCGAATCAACGGCGAAAGGGTTAAGAGCTATTGATTATCCATATATCTAACTATCATGATCCAAACGGCCTTGAAAGACACTAATTACATCGATAAGTTAAAACAATCATAACCGATAGGATTCCAAGGTCATAAGTGGGAAGGATTACAAACAGCACTGTAGTGTAAAGATAGATGTATTATTTGAACAAATTTAGGTATATATAACGATTGAAATCGGTAAATAGATAGTGATTTTGAATCACTACCTATGGTGGACTGAATCGTCTGACAGGCTGATGGAAATCTTCTGTGAAACACATCATTAGAGTGCTTATTCACATTCTTGAAGATCTAGATTGCGAATTAGTAGAGCTTGAGACTAGCACTTTTTTGTTCAGTCATTGTGTTTAAACGTGATGACTCTTAATTCCTGATTTTTATCAATTCAGAACACAGCATGGTCAGTGGGTAGTGTCATCAGTAAGTAATTTTCCTTACGGTTGATTTCACTAGTTATATCTATTAAGGCCGCCTACAATTATACATCTCATCCAACAGTTGTACGACAATGCTGCATGCCAAGTAATTCACAACGGGAAACTCACGGAATACTTCGAAGTGAAGACGCGAGTAAGACTAGATGGCTGGCTGTCTACTATCTCCAATGGTTTTCCTGATTGCGGTAGACTGGATAATGCGACAAACAGCGGGTAGCTAGGAAACAGGCATAAAATGGACACACAAAAACTTGGACCATCTGGATTTCGCCGATGATGATATATGTCTGATTTCCTACAAACTGGACGATATGCAAGTGAAAAGCAACAAGTTGGCAGAAGAAGCATTACATGTAGGAAGGACTTTAGGTGAACATAGAGAAAACAGAGGTGATGAAGATTCCTGTCCAACAGCAACAGCAACAACAGACAACAATCAGCATACATGTGAGGAACCTGAAAGAAACAACCTTCTTCACCTACCGACCTACCTGGGAAGCATCGTTTCAACTACAGGCGATGGAAATGATGATGATATCAAAGCCATGATGATTAGAAAAGCAAGACAAGCTTTCACTACTCTCAAGTCAATCTGGAGGTCAACAGCACTCAGCATCAAAAATAAGATCCGGATTTTCAACTCCAATGTGAAGTCAGTGCTACTATACGGAACAGAGACTTGGCCAGCGCGTCATAAATAGCATCTCAAACAAACTACAAACCTTCATTAACAGCTAGCTGTCATCTCAGCAACAGAGATCTCTGCCAATGAGCGAACCAACACAGCAGGAACCTATTGTGAAACAAATAGGCAGGAAGAAATGGAGATGGATTGGCCATACTCTGAGGAAACCATCAAGTGACATCACTAGACAACCCCTCGAGTGGAACCCGAAAGGGAAGCGGCGAGTTGGTCGTCCAAGGGTGACTTGGAGGAGGTTATGTGAAGAGGAGATGAAAGCATGTGGGCATACGTGGAGCCAGGTGAAAACGTTGGCAGAGAACCGAACGCAATGGAGATGTGCGACTGAAACCCCATGTTCCTCTAGGAACTAAAGGAAACAATAATAATATAATAATTTCAGAAATTTTGGGAACCTACCTCCAAAAATAGTCATCTTGCTTTTCATTTGTCAGGTGTCAACATCACTTAGAGAATATTTCGAAACTGAGGAGTACTAAACAGATAGATTTAATTCAATTTGGCTTTCCTGCGGAGTGATTAGACCGAAGTGTTTAGCCTCACGTTGACATATCGGCTTCTTATGCAGATGCTTCGACGATATCTGATTATTTAACTTGAAGTAAAATGGTGGACGATGGCTAGCGTAGTGGAATCCACGATGCGTACTTTGGTCCAATCAATCAACGACAGAGCCAAATTGAATGGAATAATTACTAACACCGGTTGCATAACAGGTGGCTGTTGTGGCCTAAATGGTATTTTGGATAAAACTTTGCCATCTGAAATGATGAATACTGAGTTCGAGCCTCTCTGAGAACACCATCACCCACTGATTCATTGGGGAATGCAGGTACATCCAGTCATCGACTGAAGAGTTCCGAGTGGGACGAAATGCGCATCACTGGTCCAGTACTGGATTCCATTGCTAATCACTATCCACCAGTTCAATTCAGACAAATAGATGTTTAGATGTGACTGCTGTGAGATACAATCTACACAAGATTATAAATGAGCACGTGACTGGGTTATCTAATAATGATGAATATTTCTGAACATTCAGCGGTTTCCTGTACAGCCTAACTAACCTAGAAAAATACGAAATATTTTTTTTGTGGCTAATGTTTAGTTATTTGAAGATTTGGCAATCATCTAAAAGTGGATAAACATGTTGATATTTGGAATGAGATATTTTATTCCCATAGGATGTAAAACATTTTTTTCATTCAATAAAATCAATAAACATGTACACATGCATGATGCTGTTACCTCTAATAGCGGTTAGCAAGGGAATATAGTGTGGGTGGGGTGTTATCTTACTTCTTCTAGACTCGTCAGTAGGACGTATCTACATTCAAATAAGTGATAGTATTACCATTGGTAGTCGAACTCACCACTTATTACTTCGGTCATCAAAATATCATTCACAAATCAAATACAATTATTTTCTATAGTTTGGTTTGTAAGGGTTAGTTGTGTTTTTACGAGTTGATCACGGAATGATACCAGTTAGAGAGCCATTTAAAACCAGCTGGGAGTACTGCCAGGCAGCTGTTTCATCCTAGTTTGGGAATCATCAGCAGTACGCACCCAACACTGGGATTCAAACCCAGTACCTTCCGGTTACAAGGCAAGCTCGTATACCTGCTGACTGTGTGCAGGAGATTTGCAAACCGATATCACAGCAATGTGCGTCGGTGGCATAGCGGTTAGGACGCTCGCCGACCATGCACATTGTCCGGGGTTCGATCTCTGACCGACGCACTCCTTTACCTCACTAAGCCAGAAATAATGCTGGTGAAGGGGAAAGGTTGAATATGAGGCTAGCAACCTCATCCTGTAAAATGAACACTGCTACAGAAACTTCAAGCCACTAGCTTGAAGCCCTTTGTTCCACTGGGGAACGTGAAGGAGAAAAAAAGTGTCACAGCAATGAAAGTGTGCCTTGCCTTTCCCATCATGACTAGCTTTGAGAACCTCATCCGTGGTACTGCCTGTATTTGAAACAATACTTCCCAGCGAGATAAGTGGAGGAAGTGACCTCATCCGAATTTCTCCCTTTGAGGATAATTGGTGTTGGTTATATTCATCACCTCTATGGTCTCTAAGTTCTTTTGGAAACGAAAAAAAATATTAAGATCACACAATAAATGGCAATCAAGTAACCAAAAATCTTTATGTTATATACTACTGAATGATTTATATGGGTCGCTGTACAGCACTCAAATCAATCAGTTTTACTTGGTGAACACCAGACAGGCATTTTGCTCTTTTGCAGACGAGCTTATCGTCTGTATACACTGACTAACTCATCTCATGGTGTGAATCCAGTTCAAGCTACTTGAATTCTAGTCAGGTGCTTTGGTGAACTGGCTTTCTCTACAGACAAACTCCCCTCCAAATGATCAAACTAATCGTCTAGTGTTTAAATCACTGACTGGCAAAAAGCTACAACTGCTTGAGGTGAGGAGTTAGCAACTACTTATATCAATCAGTAGTAGTATTTGTTATTAACAACAAATAAAACAAAGTTACCATGTTATTTATCTTTTTAAAAATATTCCTAATTGTTTTTTTCCCGTATGTTTCTCAAAAATGTTATACAGAGTGAAACAAGCTATTCATCTTGTCATGGAACAAAATCATCAAAGATGGAAATTTTTAAAATTTTGTGGTAAGATGAAACAATATAAATTATGGTACATTCTCTTTATTTTGTTAAATAATTTTTATCTACAGCAGGACTTCATAGAAAGTGATAATGGTAAAGTCAAACCTAGGGCCTTCTTGTTATAAGACAAGCATGTAGACCATTCAGCCCCCTTGGACCCGAATCAGTAGCCAGACCATGGATTCTAACTCCTACCAAATTAATCTGATGCTGACTAGTGACTAGCTGCAGGAAGAAGTTGACTGAGAAGTCGTAACCAGTGGGGTCTACTCGGTCGGGAGTGAAGACAAATACTCGCCAGAGATGAGATTGGTATAAACTGGAATTCATGGACTGGCCATTGCTTCGGGTCCCAATGGCTGAATGGTCTACAAAGTTGACTTGTAATTGGAAGGCGTTGGGTTCGAATCCTGGTGGCGGATGAGTGCTGATGAGGAGTCCCGAACAGAGACAAAATATCTGCCCAGTACTTCCTGCTGGTTTTCATTGTTTCTCTAACTGATATTATTAAATCCCTACAAACAAATTCTTGAAAATGGTAAGGTCATTCGCCTTTTCTGTCCAATCAGTTTTCATGTGGTTGTCTTCTCTGACCTAAATGGTCTAATTAAGAAGCTTTCATTGTCTTTCTCTCCTAAAAACCCTGGTCAGATGATGTAACTAGCTTTACCTTTATTCACTTATTGTGTTTAAATCTAATGAATCACCTTTTGTAATCTGTCACTCCAGGACAAAGAGTGACCATTGTACATTGAGGCCAGCCGTTATCAGGAGATATCATTTATGAAGAATTTTAATAAGATCCCTTCATATTGAAGTCTCCAATGTAGATGTATTGTCTAGATGTTGACCACTTCACCTATTTGGGAAGTTGTATCAGCACCAACGGATTGATTGGTGACCAAATCTCAGCACGGATCCAAAAAGCTCGGGCTGCTTTCGCTAACTTACACCGTCTCTGGCGTAGGCGTGACATCCGGCTATCAACCAAGGGACGTGTTTACTGCTCAGCAGTTCGCTTCGTCCTTCTCTATGGCGGTGAGACGTGGCCATTGAGAGAGGAAGACATGAAGAGGTTGACTGTTTTTGACCACAGATGTTTACGATCTCTTTCTCACGTTAGGTGGTACAATAAGGTAAGTAATGTTGACGTTAGGCGTAGAGTGTTGGGCAAAGAGGGAAAACCAATCGAAGAGGCTATAAAGTTACATAGATTGAGATGGCTAGGTCACGTGCTGCGCATGCCTAGCCATCGCCTCCCCCGACGGGCATTACTAGCTGATATAGGTGCAGGTTGGAAAAGAGTAAGAAGTGGTGGCCAAACAAAAACATGGCCTCATCAATCCATGAAATCCTTGACAGTTAAACTGAGTCAGGTAGGGAGATTCAGACTTCCGGGCTGGGGCCCTCGGGACTCTAAGAATCAATGGCTGGAGACAATAGGTGACATGGCTCAAAATCGTTGTCAATGGCTTACACAGATGTATTCAGTCTCTGTAATCTCTCATATTCCTTTCTACCATTACTCATTCTGTTTCACTCTTATACTAGTCAAAACTCTATTGATTCTCATCACTCATTTTCTTGTCTATCTTTGTGTGGTATTTGGAACGTGGCAACTGGAACTGCTGCACTTCGGTGCCAAGTTCTATGTTGAATCCAGTAGCAGCAGCAGCAGTATTGTCTAGAAAGAAAATAAAAGCTTCGTGATTAAATCGCTCAATTCAGAGAAGACAACCATATGAAAATCATTTCACCTGAACTACAAATCTTCTCTATTATTATTAGCCTTTCATAGACGTAAATGTCACTGATTCGTTAATACATCAATGAATTTTACTGTTGCCAGTGTCTTCATTCATATTTTATAGACAAGTAATGTGTGCCCCGGTGGCTTAGAGTGTGTAGAATACTCGCGAACCACTCAAGTGATTTGGGGTTCAATGTCCAACCAAAGCAATTCTGAGAATCACTTCGTCTGTAGTAAACTCGGTAAAGAGTTGGGGGGTGGGTGGGTGGGTGGACATTAGGCTAGAGATCCAACTCGTAACAAAAAAGAACACCACAGCTACCGAAACTTAAGGACTTGAGCTAGAAGTTCTATATTCCATTCAGAACGCTAAAGGAATGAAAAAAAGATGACTGGCGTCGTGCTGATTGTTAGTTCTATTGCTCCATATTGTGTTAAGCGTCAGTGAACATTAAAGATCAGTCTGTGCACTAATTCATCTTACTTTCAGGGATATTAGAACACCAGACATCTACAAATCTTTTCTTTATTGAACATAATTACACTCACTCCTGAAGTAAATATACAACAATCAGCCTACTACATGGATTTGACATAGCTCTTAATATACCTTAGATATCTTTCAGTGTCTTCAAATGTGACATCATTGTGAAGAGTGTTAAAACCATATAGCGTTGGAGAGTTGTTCCCCCCTCCTCATACCCCATTTGGGTGGGAACTGCTCAGCTATTTGGGTAGATGATCGCATCAGGAATCGCAAAAGGAATCTTCAGTTTGCAATCCGACCACAGAGTTTCGAGGATGTAGCACATCATTGTCGAATGTCATTCATAATTATATTTCGCTAGGGTTCCTCTCATAGGATGTTTCTATAGAAGAATGAAATTCTAACTTGAAGTGAGAACTCTGAATTACTAATTTACGCGCGGTCGAAATCTAAAAGGCCAGCACCTCTATACAAGGCAGTATTACTCTCACCACTTGTGAAGATTCAGCTAAATGACATAAGCTTTAGAATTTTGGCTAATGCTTCCTGAGATCGAGTCCCATTCGACTTAAATCAAACCGGGGCAATAGGCAGTATCATCTCTCCTTACAGATCGCAGTCTGATAAATTCTTATAGCTCGAGAAAATGGTTTGTGTCACGAAGATATGAAGCAGGGAAGAATGAGACGTTTATCTGACTGTTGTTTTATCGCAGATTACCAGAAAAATCAATATTATTGTCACAAAAGGCCCGCACACTTCAGTATGATGACACTGTTTATGAAACTGTAGTGACTTACAATAAAACTCTTTTCAAATTCTGTGTCATGCTTTATTGGTTTCATAATAAGTTCGGTTAGGATTATTCCTTTGTTTTTACCGCGAACGTTACGTTATCAGACTAGACAAATTTATCAGAGGAAAACTCATAACTTAAAACAATTAATTCCCTTTATGAATTAAGACAAAGAAATAAGAAGACGCAGTTCTTCTGAATCGTGTAGTGTATGCACAAATTTCAGAGCATAATCCTAAATGGCTCCAGAAGCAAAGGGAATCCCAAGAACCCATTAGTGGTAAGGATGTTTCCACACGTCTTTTAAATCTATCTATAGAATGTGTTTAGGGACGGGTAACCTAAAGTTTGTGGAAGCCCTAGCCAGCAAGTAGGCAGTTTAAACCACCTTTATGCGTTCAAAGCAACAATTCGTCATCACACTAAACCAAATTCCTTGGTAAACTTTATTTTGATACCAACCAGGGAAGATGTACTATTACCTCTGTTATTTGGTTTAGTGATCTTCATTGTTATTTTGACATTCGGTGTGAGTCTTTTTAACTTGATCTATGTCTGTTTTCTCACCCCTTAGCTGTTTATTATTTCTGTGACAACTCCCTGGGTGATTAGACTACTCGAAATGTTTTGCTGAAAACAGACAAATTCAGACAAATTACGTCTTCTTATTGTTTTGTCTAACTTCATAATTGTTTGTTTAATTTAACTTTTTGTTTTCTTTTTTTTGGTATATATATACCAATTTAGGAAGTTTACCAAAATGGACTTAAATCTAAGTTAGTACTTAGAAGAATACAAAACCGACAATTAACAATCTTTGAACAAATTAATTATACAATCACATAGCTATTAGTCGGAAATAGTATTAACATTGTTTTAAGAAAAAAGTAGTATTAGTGTAATACAGTAATAATAAATTGATTAATTTCATTTCTGACTTGTTTGTTTTGTTCTGTATGGTGTGTTGGGGGGGGGGGGTACTGTTTCAAGTTAATCAGCATTTCATCGATTAGTTGATGGTGGCTAACAGTGGAATCCAGAAATTCTGAAACTCATCAGCTGCAGCGATCTACTTGAATCACCGGGCTATCTAGATTTCTTAGCCATCAATATACATCGTGTTTACTGCGTCTTTTCACAATACTGTTCTATTGGTGTAATTACCACAGTGAGACACAGTCTGTACTCGTGTACAATTTCAAATAAGTTTTTATTGAACGTGAGGGATTTTTCGAAGGAAATGGAGCAATAAACATTTTGAAGAAGTATTGGAACAAGCTTTGACTGGAACAATTCAGATGAGATATCATCGATTATTATGAGTGATGAAACGATTGGTGCTGTGTTTCAGTTTCAGTGGGAATACAATTACCTACTGAGGATGATGAAAGAGAAACAGAAGAGACTCCATTATGGATAAGATTTTAGTTTTGATAAGTCACACAGCGTTGTACAGTAAAATTTACTGATGACCACGTTTCGAGCACAAGTTATTGACTCTGTCTCACTACACAATAGGGTGGGTGGGACAGAGTCAAAATTCTAAAGAGTAATATAGGTAGGTGGAGAGAGAGAGATTGATTACTGAATCCTTGTTCATCGAGTCTACACCCAACACATGTGCAATAGAAGTGACTCAACGCAAATACCAGAGATATGGAAGATATTATTACCACCAGTCAAATCAGAGGAGGATAATAAATAATCTCAAAGTTCTATTTCAATTCACTCACGTCAAACCTTCCCTCTTCACCGGAATTACTTACTAACAGCCAAGGTAGGTTGTAGAAATGCATTGGGAAGGAATCGAACCCTGAACGGTTGTGTGGCTGAAAAACATTCTACTATTAAGCCACTGATGTACCGGTGGTTAATGATTAGTCAGTAATCACATTCATCCCTTAGTAGTCTCTGTGAATCTCTTCGGAACATTATCCAATCATCTTTACCTCATCATCACATTAAGTCTATGACTGGAAACTAGCCAGAAACCAGTGTAATGTGTGTGTCTAGTCCTTTATTTGCTGCAGACTCAATTCTGCCAGAGTCAAGTTTGCGATGCGGCCACCATGATACTAGGTGGCTCGTCATTACAGTCCACTGTGAATTACTGGTATTAGATGGTTGGAGGCAATCGGCCACAGGAAGCCCTACCTGGCCTAGATTTCGTGCTAGTTGGCACTCAGCAGTCAACAAGGCGTATATGGAAACTTGAGGGGACTCATATCCCCTCTGAGATTCGAACCCACATTGCCCAGTGCTACTACAGTCACAGACGTTATCACTACTGATCAGCTATTCAGGTTCGTGATTGACCTCATGTAGGACTGTACTGAATACTTCGATCAGACGCTCAGTACTTAGTAACTGGTGTTGTGCGTCTAGTCCTTCCTTTGGCATAGAATGAATCCTATCAGCCAATCTGTTTTCAGCTGATAGATTTATTCAAAATAAAAGCTTATCTCGTGGATACTCATCAACTGCATGTATCCTAAATAAAATTAAATTATAAGTTTCAAAAAAGTTTTGGAACATAGTTTTTCATAATTACTTTGAGTTATAGATAGAAGGCATAAGGAACATAATTCCAGAATTTGATGTTGGTAGACAGATTATTCGATGTCCAAAAACAACTGATTATCTATAGTGGAATTAGATAAGAGGGGTTAGAGTTCAGATTTCTATTGGAAAGCACAGATTGGTTAGAGGCATATTACAGGGTCAGGGTGAGAGAACAGAGTGAATTTACACATCTTGTGGTGGAGAGTTTAAGAGGGTGGGGGTGAATAGTTGACATCGAATAATCTGTCTACCTACATCAAATTCTGGAATTATGTTCCTTATACCTTCTATCTATAACTCCAAGTAATTATGAAAAAGTATGTTCCAAAACTTTTTTGAAACTTATAATTTAATTTTATTTAGGATGTATGCAGTTGATGAGTATCCACGAAATAAAACGAGCTCGTATTATCCTGCAAACATGTTCGTTCTTTCTCTCCAAACTAATAAAGGGAACCGGTTGTATGAAAAGCTTATCTAATTTATTCTGTGTCGTTCATACTTTCATAAGAGTTAAATGTAAGTAAAACGGTAGATACCTAAAGACAGTCACCTGTTTCTTGAACTACAGAGGGTGATATGCATGAGGATGTTGACGACTGGATGGGAAAGACAAGACAGAAATCCATTAATATAAAATCAGTGTGGAAACCTCCTACGCTCAACATAAGGAACAAGATTCCGATTTTCATCACTAATGTCAAATCAGTGCTTCTATATAGTTCAGAGACTTGACGCGTCACAGAAAGCATTTCCAACAGGGTACTTCAGACTTTCATCAACAACTGCCTTCACTTCATGCCGAAGATTAGATGACTAGAAAGGATAAACAACAAGGAACGCAGGGAATGAATCCACCAAGAATCTCTTGCCCAAAAAATATGGAGAAGGAAATGGAGATTGACTGGATTATACTGAAGGATGTTCAAATGATGCCACACATCATGTCCTTGAGTGGATCCCGACTGAGGAGAGATAGTTTGAGCGTCTAAGGTTGATATGAAGGAGATAGCGTAACGAAGAAATAAAAGCTTATGGGAAGTCTTGGAAACGGCTAAGAAAACTACAGAGAACAGGGTGAAATGGAGTTATGCTACTGAATCCCTTTGCTCCACTCGGAACTAAAGGGAATATTCATAATTTGGAATTAGTGGTGTTCTCTGAGCTGGTTGGTTTAATTGCGAAGCTTTCATCATCCTTCTGGACAACATCCTCTTTCAGCACAAGTGTTAGCATAAAATGAGAACTCTCCATTAATGACAGAACTAAGTCTCCTGGCAACCAACTTCGTGACTGATAGTTGATTTGCATCTCTATTGATCATTTTTATTGACTTGGAATTTGAACTTTTTTTCACATGATTTACTTTTTATTAGTTGGTAAATTTGGCTTCTGGAAATTCTCTGGCACTTTTGGTGCTTCCTCTACTTAAAATTTCGACATTATCCCAATCAAATTGATGTCCATAATTATCTACATGCATTGAAATGAAAGAACATATATCATGTCTTCTTACAGCTAATTTGTGTTCTTGGATTCTGATTCGAAGGGGACGCCCACTTCGATTGATGTAGTGTCTGTTACAGTTCATACATGAAATTTATTTTGTAAATGGTATTAATTTTATCTTCTTCTATTGGACCTTTCGATTTGCACAATATCGAATGAAATGATTGTGCTGGCTGGTTTGTGTGCTATATCTATTTCAAACGGTTTCGATATCCTAAGTGTTGTTTCATAGACATTTTTACATATGGTAGGATGAATTTTCTTATAGTCTTTGATGATGGTTTCTTGTCGGTGTTGTGACTCAATTTTAATAATAATAATAATTAAATATGTCTTGAGTAGTTATTCCCTGTCAAGCCTCAGTCCTTACCTGTAAGACTCTAGTGTCAATGATATCTAGCAAGATATCGAAAGGTTTTCCAAAAAAAACTCAATCTGTCAGCTAAATTTCTTCTGGAAATGAGATCGCATACTGGTTATTCATCATTATTCTTCTACCTAATTCTTAATCGCTTTCTCCGTTATTTATTCTGTTATTTTTTTCCTCTGAATATTCTCATTATTATTTTAATTGGTGGATGGTGACTAGCAGTGGAATCCAGGATGCGCATTTCGTCCTATTTGGTACTCGTCATCTGGATGTACCTGCATCCTGTAGTGAGTGACGATGTCCCCACCGGGGCTCGAACCAATGCCCATAGTTTCAAACACCAAAGCATTATCCACTAGCCCATTTGGGCCACAAGAGCCACCTTTGGTTAGCACGATAGATCTCATTTGAAATGATTGGTGATGGTTGTTTATAATCTCTGACCAGATAATAATAATAATGCAAATATGAACACTACTCAGCTGACATGAAGAATAGTAAAGAAACAAAAATCACTTTGTTTAGTGCAACGAAAACTGTAGCCCTTTGAGTTTTCAGTATTATTTATTTGTGATTAGGTAATAACAATGATAATGGCTACAATCATCATTGTATGTCAGCGGTTCAAGATTAGAATGCTCAAAAGGTACGTGGGTAGTCTGAATTCGATAGATACCCAGCCAACGCACTCTTAAACGTCGTATAGTCGGTAACAGACCAGCAGAGGAGAGGGGAGGTTGGGCATGGGGTTAGCTAGCCCCCCCCACCCACCACCGAAATTTCAAAGCTTTATGTTCCACTCGGAACATGAAGCAATGAAAAAGGAGTAATGATAACTATAATACGCATTTCATAATATGTAACACGCTTAAACTGGAGATACATTTATGTATACTAGTGAACGAAGATATTGTCTCACACTAAAGGTTCATCATCTGAAATATCCAAGTGTTCAGATAGGCTTCATGTATTGTCTTTTCAAGGTTATTATATTCTCAGTTTAATACCTGAATGGTTTCTGTAATTGCAAAGTTTCACACTATCCCTCTAGACAAAAATGCTCAAGATATTAGTAGTGAACTAATAAAACTGGACTAAATTTCCAGCATAGAACTTTGCAAAAATGTACAGAACCTTAAGTTGTTACACTTCATAAAAGAAAGCCACCGGATAAAACATGAAAATGCCTAAATTTACCGAGATGGCTGTCTCCAGAAGTCAATAACTTTATGGATTGATGTGAAATTCTCATTTAACCAAGTTTAACCTAACTCTTTTCCAACCCAAATTGAATTAAATAATCACTGACCCACGTTGCACAAGAAAGAGGTGGGTGGCTCTCGTGGCCTTTGAAGTTTGAAGCTATCTATAGGTAACGAGTTCGAGCCTCCTTGGTGAGAATACTGTCATTCATAATATATTACCTAAGATTTTGAAATAATAGAGAAGATTGTAGCTCAAGTGGATGATTTGCAATTAATAGTGTTCTCTGAGCTGGTTGGTTTAGTTGCGGAGCTTTCGTCGTCCTTCTGGACAACATCTTCAGCGCAATATTTAGCACAACGTGAAATAATTTAAATTTCTTCATGAGTGATATAATTACACCTCCTGGTAACCATCTTTACATATGTGTATTGACCATTTTCTATTGACTTGGATTTTAAACTTTCTGGTCACCTGATTTACTTTTTATTAGTTGGTATATTTCGTCTATATTAACGTGCTTGTTTAAAGTCGAATCAAAACACCAACAAGAAATCATCAAAGACCACAAGAAAATTCATTCTACCATACATGAGGAATATCTCTGAAATAACAGCTAGAATACTGAAGCCGTTTGATATAGATATAGCACACAAACCAGTAAAATCGCTTAATTCGATATTATGCAAACTAAAAGATCCAACAGAAAAAGGAGATAAAATTAACATCATTTACAAAATAAATTGTATGAACTGCAACAAGCATTACATCGGTGAAAGTGGGCGTCCCCTTCGAATCAGAATCCAAGAACATAAATCAGCCGTGAAAAGACATGATATGAATTCTTTAGTATCAATGCATGCAGACAACTATGGTCATCAGTTTGATTGGGATCATGTCAAAATCTTAAACATAGGAAACACGAAAAGTGCCAGAGAATTCCTAGAGGCCTGGTACTCAAGCGAAAATGCGATTAACAAACACGTTAATATAGATGAAGTATACCAATTAATAAAAAGTAAATCAGGTGACCAGAAAGTCTAAAATCCAAGTCAATAGAAAATGATCAATACATATGTAAAGATAGTTACCAGGAGACGCAATTATATCACTCATGAAGAAATTTAAGGCATTTCACTTTGTGCTAAATATGGCGCTGAAGATGTTGTCCAGAAAGACGACGAAAGCTTCGCAACTAAACCAACCAGCTCAGAGAACACTATTAATTGCAAATTACCTAAGATTGTTCGACGAGGAAGGTGATTATTACAAACATAAATAGTCAGATATAGGCATATAGTACACAGACGCCTGTGCCTACACAAGAAACAACAGAACAACGGGGCAACAGTCGATAGCGTATGTATATTGAGTGTATGTATTCATCTGTAAACTCCTTCACCTTCTTCACAGTCAATAAATAATTTTAGTAATTGATGAAGAAATTTACAAGCAGACAAATAGAAGATATAGGTGGATAGATAGATATAACAATATCAAATATAGTGAGTGCATCATTATATCTATCTATCTATATATATATTACATGCAGTTTATATTACTGATTAACAATCAGATGAAGTATTTAAGTAGTATGTATGTGCAAATTTATATGTATGTATGTAGAAAAAAAATTCAAGGAAGGATAAGATAAAGTAAAATACATATATAAGAAGAGTAAGCATTAATTCACATAAATAGATCGGTAGATAGATAGATAATTTCCTCTTGTGATTCACATGAGAGAGTAAAGAAGTAGGTATGTGCATAATTGACCTTTTTTCATAACAGTTTTAGTCTTCTGGTCCTCTGGTTACTTGCTTTTATTCATTATAATAAATTCACTTTTTTTTACATGAGAAAGATTTTTGTACATTTCGTCTCCCCTGTTCAACTGGCTCCTTAAATACATTACCATACTCACATAAACACGTACATATATGGTAGAGGAATACAGAGAAAAGGCAAGGTAGGTAGGGCAAACTTTTCGTCTGTTTTCGGTAAACACCGGCTTAAGCAATAAGTAGTAAGTAGCATAAGATAAATGCAAATTGTGTTTATTACTACAAACTTGATCCCAATTTCTTTTAAGATTTCTTTACTTATCCTTGATGTAGGTCAATCAGCCAGTCAGTAAGAAAGTGAGTGAGTGAGTGAGTGAGTGAGTAAGAGTTCATCACATAACCAAGCAAGATAAGTCAAAACCCTAAAGAATGTCCATCTATCGAACACTGTGACAAACTCAAGTCAGTCATTGGAATTTAATGTATACAGAAATAATGACAAAAAAAACAAAACACGATTACCACTATTACCGATGCTACTACTACTACTACTGTTCATCCTTGAAATCAGTAGTATATACCATAAACCATAAATAAATACAATTTCAAGAGTAAGTATACACAAATAGAATGTTTATAAGTCAAATAAAAATGAAAAATAAAAGATAAATATCATTAGGCGGCCAAGGAAGAGAAAAAAGGTGTTTCACTATCAGCAGTTGCCATCACATTTCATTTAAAGAATTACGTAATACGAATGTTGATAATAATGATAATAATAATAAGAATAAGAATAGTAAAAGTGTAAATATGTAGAATTGAGATATCTACCATAAAACACACAAATTAGGTGTGTGTGTGAGATAAGGGGGGGGGAGAGAAGGGTCAAGTGAAAATCTTTTTCATAATATTCCCCTCTTTCTAATATATATATATAATAATCTTATAAATGAATAAATAAATGTGAATGGTACTTTAAGACACATATGGCTAGCTAACAGACAGTAATGTTCAATTATTTTTTTAATGTCATAAAACAACTCCATAAACGCACAATTAAAAACAAACAAGTGAGAACACCTAAATGCCGTTTATACATGAGTACTAATAATAATATTAATGATAATATAATAACAGTCTCAATCTCTATCTGTCTGACAGCTTAGAAAATATTCACACATTTAAAGAACAAGGCGTAGAAAGGATCGCGAAGAAGAAATCTTTATAACACTTCTAATAAATAAATAAATATAAAAAACTGTACAATTGTAAATAATATAAAACAACTTTGGTTGGCAAAAAACAATTTGAATGAAATTTTAATTCGATGCCTATTTTTTTCAAATTATCCGCTTCGTTTTGTTTTAATCTTCTATTGTCATTTCTGATTGGTTAATTCATTATGGATGTGAAGGCGGTCTTTTTAGGATTGATAAACTGTATTGGGATAGATAGAATGTGGAGTAGTCGTCGTTGAAATAGTAGTAGAAGAGACAGAAGCATCACCAGTTGAACGAATAGATGTAGGCTAATGTTGATGATGATGGGGAGGAGGTGGGGGCGGAGGTGAGATAAGACACTGTTGACTATGCTGCATAGGTTGATTGTTTCCTCTAGACATTGAGGCATTTGATTTCATCTGATACAATTGTTGATCTAGTTGTGCTGGTAATATTCGTGTTGTTGGTTGGTTAGAGGATAAATCTCGGCTTGAATCAACAATATCTGAAGTTGGGACTTGTGTGAAACTACCTTTCATAGGATGATACATTGGATAGGCTTGTGAATTGGCATTTACCATCATCATGTTATTTGTATCATGAATATTCATAAACTGATTATGACAGTCTGTTGGTGTATATGCTTTAGACGTGTTATTTACATCAAAAACACCCATAGCAGTCGATGAAATGATGATGTTGCTGGAGCTAGTGGCGGCAGGAGCAGCATTTGTGGATCCCGTATGAGGTGTTGTTCTAACCATTGTTGTTGCCATCGGTAGACTAGATACAACATGTTGTGGACTGTTAATAAAACCGTTTGAAGAAGAATTATTATTATTACTTATATCGTTATTATTATTATTATTCTGTTGAATAGAAGAAGTTAAATGATCTTCAAGTTTTTTAATACGTGTTGTATATTTACGTTTAGCTTTTTCAAAGGCTGTTATCAATGCACTATTAGCACGTTTTAAATCATCAATTAATTCTTCACTTTGAACTTGTTGTATTTCTGTACTACTACGAAGAGCTTCAAGAGCTTGTAACAAATTCTGTAAGAGAAAAAAAAGGAATACAATAATCATTTAAATATGTGTTGATTTTCCCTAATAAACGATCTGTTGCCTGGCCTTTGTCTTCTGTTGTTACAACTTTAGAGAGGCAATTGACAGCTGGCTCGTCCTAGTTTGGGTCATTTTAGCAGTACATACCCAGTGTGCGTCGTTGGTTCAGCAGTAGAATGCTCGCCAACCACGTATGTGGTCCAGGGTTCGATCCCCAGCCGACGCAGTTCTAACTCTAACTTAGCCAGTAGTTAGGCCAGTAAAGAGGGAAGGTCGGGCATGAGACTAGGCAAGCAACCCCATTCTGTAAGAAAAAAACCATTGCTACTGAAACTTCAAAGCTATAGCTTGAAGTCCTGTGATCCACTCGAAACGTAATGGAATAAAATAATAATAATAAAAATAAGCTCATGATCCACAGTCAGAGATGGAACTCAGGACCTTCGCGTTACTAGGCTAGCCCGTTGACCATCTAGTAGTCACTGGAACGGGATCCAATGGCCTACAGATTCTGACTTCTATCAATTTGCAATATAAAGTACGGCCACAAGGTAATGTCATCGGTGGGTACTTTTGCCCACACTCAACATCGTGGATCCTTATTTGTCATTATTTCTCACTAGAACTCCCCGGCGACTTTATCCTGCAATCCGTCAGTAATAAGTAGTAGATTAATTTGATTGGCTTCAAACTAGATCGCAGTTAAAGAATCAATGAAGATCAGGGAGTATTAGACAGCTGTTTTGTCCTAGCTTGGAGTATTTCAGCAGCATGCATCTATATCCCCACCACTAGGGATTGAATTCCTCGGTTTCTTTTTGGTTATGGAACAAGCTCATTAACCATTTAGCCCATATGGATGATTACCAACGACCTATTTTGAGATATATATCACTATCACCAACTAGTGTGAAGCAGCAAAGACAGGACTCCAGGTGAACATAAACAAGACGGAGGTTATGAAAATAACCAACCAACAACAACAACAGCAGCAGCAACATCCAGCGCCAATCACCATCAACGGGAGAGATTTGAAAGAGGTTACTTCATTCACTTATCTAGGGAGCATTGTCTCAACTACAGGCACAAGGAACGGACGAGGATGTCAAATCGAGAATCGGAAAGGCGAGAAACACATTCATCAACCTGAAACCAATCTGGAAATCTTCGTCACTCAACTCAGCATCAACAACAAAATGATTCGGATTTTCAATTTAAACGTCAAGTCAGTCAGTTCTTGTATACGGATCAGAAACTTGGCGTGTCACAAAGAATATTTCCAACAGCCTGTTGCAGACCTTTATCAACAACTGTCTTCGCTCTATACTGAAGATCAGATGGCCACCGGAAAGAATCACAAACAAGAAACTGTGGGAACAAACAAAACAAGAACCAATCGCTCAACAAATATGCAGGAGAAAGTGGAGATGGATAGGACACTCACTGGCTGAGGAGGCCGCTGGGTGACATCACGCGTCAGGCCAGTGCTCGAGTGGAACCCGAAAGAGAAGCGGCGAGTGGGACGTCAGTGCAAGGGTGACATGGAGGAGATCGTGTGAAGAAGAGTTGAAACAGTATGGACTAACATGGATGCAAGTGAAAAGTACTGCAGAAGACAGAAGCAAGTGGAGAAGTGCAGTTGAAGCCCTATGTTCCACTAGGAACCCAAGGGAACAATGATAATAATAATAATAAATCAACTAGTGTCATCTATAAGTATCTGTCGTTCGTCACACCCAATATGACAAACCCCAATAGTCACGACTTCTTACTAAAAGTCCATTAATCAAACGGACATTAGTTCCCTTTTAAAGTAGTAATGATAATGAAAATAATAATGCGATCGGCGAAATTAAACTTTCAGCATCAGTATGTACCAAAGTACAAATGACCTGGAACGCACCAATTATCTGATAAAGGCAATTTTTACGTAGAAAATACATAAACTCATGGAAATAATAACAATTTCTACACAGGATACCTTTCTCTCAGGTGTGACAAAAATGTCTCTTAATTTTGGATTGGAATGTCACCATGGCAATTTAACCACCGTCACATGTATATACTTATCTAGTCCTTCTAACCATAACAATAACTGTAACGTGAAAATATCGCGAAACTAAAGCTAATCTATCTCGGAGCGACCCCTTTTAGGTTAGCCTAGCCATAACCTGTCCTTAGCTTAAACCTTAACACCACTTATATTTCTCAAATATAACCTGAAACTTACCAGGTATCCCGTTTAAATATCATAACACTTCATTAGGCATATTTTATTGATGATTATAGTATTTTCCTAACTTGTTCATTGAACTTTTCAAGGTCATTGGTGAGGAGTCACACTTCATTGGTACTTAGAGTTTAACTTCGCCAATGTGATCGATTTCTAATAGTTATTAATCTACAATTGATTTAGACAAACTTATAAAGTACTCCTTAACTTTCTGTTATATATAACAGAAAGTTGAAAGTTAATATATATTCTGATTGCGTGATTTACAAGAACAGAAATAAACCACAGCATACTCAACTACACTATACTACACTACACTACGCTATGCTTGTTTGTTTATTTTCAGACTAACTGAGTGAATCTAGTAAATATCCATCCAACCAAACACCCCACCCCCCACCCATCAGCGAATCAGTAGACGCTGATGTGATAGTAAAAGTGAAAATCAATGTTGTACAACTTTTCTTTTCCCTTGTTTCAGTTTGTATCAATCAATACACACGGAATGACATTCACCGACTGTTTTTTCCCTATCACCTCCACAAACACAAAACAACATTCCATCATATATATATATATACATATATGATAAATTTTAATTGTATATGAGCAGACTAATTCATTGAATTTCAACCGTATGCATAATTTGAAAAAGCAAATACTATCAACAGTTAGTTTTGTAGAGATTTCATTTGCTTCAAGTTTGATGACGTATCGATATCAGTTAGAGAACCACCAATGAAGACTGCGGAGTCCTGTACAGCTGTTTCTTCCTAATTTGGGACTCGCCAGCATTACGCACCCACCGGGATTTGAGCCCTGAAAACTAACTTATATCTTAAGAATTAATCTGATGCTCAAACTAGTAACTGGTCACAAGACGAAGTTGTCTAGAGTTCTACTGAGAAATGATGACTAGAGTTCACCCGGTCGGGAGTGAGGACGAATACTCACCGCCGATGACATTGGCTGGTGATCACGCTAAAAAATCACAAACTGGTAGGAGTTAGAATTCCTTGGCTATTGAATCAAGTCCCAGTGGCTGAAATGTCTAAGAGCTTTCATTAAAACCGACGTAGGTGAGTAGTGATGAAGACTCCCAAACTGGGACGAAACAGCTGTCTAGCACTCCGTGTTGGTTTTCAGTGGCTACCTAACTGATTTCAATCCGTAACTGAAATTGAAACTAAGCAAGTACTATCTTTTTCTTTCTATTATCAAGGAGTATTATTTCAAATATTATTCGACTAAAATATCCAGTTTCTGTTGATATGTCGTCTCCAAGTACACAGACACTTTGATAACACTTTGACGTCAACCAGATGTTAGTCATTTGATTGATAAAGGCTAGAAGTAGAATCTAGGATATGCACCTCATCCTATTCAAGGCTCGTCATCTGGATTTAGTTGCGTCCCTGAAGAGAGTGACAGTATCTCCCCTAACACCTGAACCCAGCACCCTTCGTTTTACACGCTAAAACGTTTATTACCTTTTAGATTGGGCTGCTAAACCTCAAAAGCCACTAATGGTCCTTTTATTTATTGAAGTTATCTTGAATCTCCTATTGACCTATTTGATAACGAGATGAAACCAGTTACAGAAAAACTGAAAAACCGGGGAGTACTTAACAGCTGTTTAATCCTAGTTTGGAACCCTTCATTTGTACAACACTACCAGGGTTCGACACCAGGACCTCCCAGTTATAAGAAAAGCTAACAGACCATCCAGTCACTGGGACACAACACAATGGCTCATGAATTCCAACCTCTACGAAGTCGTAACCGTAGCGTCCTTTGTCCGAACCCTGGTGAATATTTACTGCTGAAGAGTTCCGAACTAGGACGACACAACTGACCATACTCTCTGGTTTTCCGGTGGTTCTGCAACTGATGTCAGCTCATGATCAAACTTGAGACAAATCACATCCCAAAAAACTAACTGATTGATTCATGTTGAACCGAAATGCTCGATATCCTTGTAAGGACACCCCGACGACGTTCTAGGGTTGAATAAGACGAAACTATTATTATTGTTCCCTAGTGTTCCGAGTGGAATATAAGGATTCAACAGCACCTCTCTACTTTATCCCACTTTCTGCTGTCCTCTTTAGTTGGGTCCACGATTGCCCATATCTTCTCCATCCTCGTTTTCCTCTGCAGATTTGTTGAGCGGTAGGTTCTTGGTGGGTTTGATCCACTTCAGAGTCGCTAATTTTTTCTGGTCAACCGGCCATTCGATCTTCATTAGGGAGCCAGCCATCCACCTGAGGTGGCATTTGCTGATAAAAGTCGGCAGCTGACTGTTGGAAATGCTTTTCGTGACGTGTGTGTGTGTCAAGAATAATTGACTGACTGACTTCACATTTGTGTTGAAAATCCGAATATTTTCGTTTACGCTGACTGTATGCAGAAGATTTGCAAAGTGATTTCAGAGTGAAGAAGGTGTATCTTGCCTTTCCAATACTAACTAGCTTTGATATTCCCACCCATACTGTTGCATGTAGTTGAAATGATGCTTCTTGGCGGGATAAGTGAAGGAAGTAACCCCCTTCAGATTTCTCCCTTTGATGATGATTGGTGTTGGTTGTTTATTGGTTGGTTGGTTATCTTCCTCACTTCTGTCTTCTCTATTATCCGTCTTTGCTTTCTGTTTCTTCTGAGAGTTTGCTGTTTTCCTTCTGCGAGTCTTCGAGTTTGTGTAACATTATACCGAAGTCACCTGCGAAATCCAGATCCTCCAGAGTCTTCTTATCGGTCTAGCATATTCCTGTCTGCTCGCTCCTCACGTACGGTGTGCCGAAGAATCCAGTCCACCATAATCAGAAATATCATCAGTGCTTCAGGAGGAACTCCATCTGATTCTGCTACCTTTTCGAACTTCAGTAGCTTGATTACATTCAAGATTTCTGCTTTCAATGAATGATTGGTGTCTACTGGCAGTTCCATGCTTGCTGATGATGGTATTTCTGGATGAGCTGCAGGTGATGATGGTCGATTCAACAGTCCTTTAAAGTGATCAGCCCATTGTTACCTTTCTCTCTCCTCCTTGGTATTTAGGTTCCCTTATTATTATTATTGTTCCCTTGGGTTCCTAGTGGAACATAGGGCTTCAACTACACGTCTCCACTTGATTCTGTCTTCTGCTGTACTTTTCACCTGCATCCATGTTAGTCCATACTGTTTCAACTCCTCTTCACACGATCTCCTCCATGTCACCCTTGCACTGACGTCCCACTCGCCGCTTCCCTTCCGCGTTCCGCTGGCCTGACGCGCGATGTCACCCAGCGGCCTCCTCAGCGGGTGTCCAATCCATCTCCACTTTCTCCTGCATATTTGTTGGGCGATTGGTTCTTGTTTGTTTGCTTGTTCCCATAGTTTCTTGTTGGTGATTCTTTCCGACCATCTGATCTTCAGTATAGAGCGAAGACAGTTGTTGATAAAGGTCTGCAACAGGCTGTTGGAAATATTCTTCGTGACACACTGACCAAGTTTCTGATCCGTATAGAAGAACTGACTGACTTGACGTTTGTATTGAAAATCCGAATTTTGTTGTTGATGCTGAGTTGAGTGACGAAGATTTCCAGATTGGTTTCAGGTTGATGAATGTATTTCTCGCCTTCCCGATTCTCGATTTGACATCCTCGTCCGTTCCTCCTGTAGTTGAGACAATGCTCCCTAGATAAGTGAATGAAGTAACCTCTTTCAAATCCCTCCCATTGATGGTGATTGTCGCTGGATGTTGCTGCTGCTGTTGTTGTTGGTTGGTTATTTTCATAACCTCCGTCTTGTCTATGTTCACCTGGAGTCCTGTCTTTGCTGCTTCTTCGACCAGTTTGTCGGTTTTCACTTGTAAGTCTTCGATTTTGTGTGACATCAAACATAAATCATCCGCGAAATCCAGGTCTTCTAGGTTCTTCACGTCGGTTCAGGATATCCCTGTCCTCTCGTTTCCCACTGTCTAGTCCACCACAATTAGGAATATCATTGGTGATAATAAGCACCCTTCTCTGACTCCTTAGGTTCCCTTGACCATCTTTAATTAGTTTCATCTGCGTTGACGCTTTGAGGTTGGGTAAAACGAAACGCTCATCCCGAGTTGTACCGCTAGCTTACGCCAACCCACCTCAGAGGACACAAATACAACAAAGTGAGTTTTAACTGAACGCTAATTATTAAATCTTAACCTAGAACATAAGTGCTGTTTAACATCCTTCAATTTTCACTGCTTCTCTAAGCAGTAACATCACTCACTTCATGATAAAATGAGACTGCAAAAAAAGATACTTCATTAACCTTCTTCTTACCTTGACTTGACCACGTAATAAGACTATTTCGTGTTGATTAATTCCCACTGCTGTTGTTGTGGCTGTTGTCGAATTTTCTTTTTGTTTATCATTTGTTAATGACGTCTGCGAATATCGATTATGCTGTTCAGTGATCAATGCATCAAGATGAGCACGTAGTGCACGTTCAGCTGCAGCACGACTTTCTAGCGTTAAACGATTAGCACAAAGTTCTTTTTCAAGAAGATATACACGAACTTTAAGATCTGCACATTCTTCTTTAACACAACATAATTCCTGAAATGAAAAGTAAAAGAGTTTATTTAGACACGATAACAACCAACTGTTAATGAGACATCTGTTAGCAACACTTATTTGTGTGACATCTGATGATACGGACTAGTCTTCTCGACTGAAGTTTGTTTGTTTGGGTCGTAAAGTCAACCAGCAGTTCCATATTGACACACACCAAGTGGTGGATACGGAACATAAGATTGATAAAAAAAATTCAGGCTTCACAATTCTTCTATGCAAGGTACTACCTGAATTCCTTGAGTAGTTTGTATGTCTTCGATTACTAAGCCTAGCTAAGGCAGTTGTCGTAAAAAGAAATTCTCAACCCAATCTCTGTGTTTAGAAAACGTTTGTTCAATCCCTCTCCCTCCTATGGCCTTCAATCCCAACCTAGAATAGTTATCCAGGTGACACCGGATAACAGTAAATATTATTTGTATCTTTACTTGTACTGCTAACTGTATTAACAATATCATGCTGTGCTTGATATATACACTGGTGACTCATCAATATTGATTTTTCGCAGGTTGATGGTAGTTTATGCTGAGGATGAAGCGGTGCGGTTGATGTCGACGGTACTGGATGCACCGCATGCACTTCTGCTGCATTTTGGCTGCCAGACTGCACCAGGAAGGTATCGTTATGAATGTTGATTAAACGCTGGTATCCTTCACCGACGTCTTTCAAAGTCATTCGTGGATCTTGTTCCAGACGATTTAATAGGCGTGTGTGTATGTCAGCAAATTTGGGAGACTGCAAACCACAAATGAAAATCAATACCTTGAACTGGTCTTCTGAGAGCGATTTCAATTTAAAACGTTCACACGTGCGATTGACTATACCCAACTGGGTATGGATATCATCATTTTCGTTCAGAACTAGTTTCATGCAATGATATCGAATGTTGAATAACGATCTCTGATCACCAAACTGATGACGAAGGGTATGGACAGTTTCATCGAATGATCTTTCGCTGGGCTTCTGTGGGAGAATTAAGTTGCAGTATTTATCTAGCTCATCTGCTCCCAATTTACGAAGTAGAAGCCGTACTTTCCAGGCATCATCTTTATCCGCAAAGTCTACTCGAAATAGGTCTTCATATCTGCGAAACCAGGTATCAAAAGTCACGTTCGCATCTGGATCATAAACGAATTCTGAGATGCTACTACCAATGCTGTCGTTGGCTGTAGATGAATTGGCAGGGCGTGATATCTGTAGACCAGCAAGCATTTCCATCATTTTTAGCTGCTGTTCCATTAGTTTCTCTAAACGCAGTGGGTCCATCTTGAGCAAAGCCGTCGCTCGTAGTCTACCAGGTCATAATATTCATACATAACAATGCTATAGGCGAATATTTTAATTCTAATTTCACAATGTGTTATAACTGCTATCCTACTTACATTCTCCTTGATTCTATTTGATTCTATTGAATGACATCGTTTAAAATGTCTATGAATGATATCTGATTGTGTGATTTTAAAGCCTGATGAGAATTTACCAAAAATACGTATTTTCCCGCTTAAATCTTGTTCTAGGCTAGACTATGAGTCGTGATTCAGTGGCGCAGAGGTAGGATGGTCGCCAATCACGCGAATAGTCGGTGGCTTGATCCCCGGCCGACGCACTCCTACACCTCGCTTAGCTGGTAATAAGTTTAGCAAAGAGGGAAGGTTGGCCATGAGACTAGCAACTCCACCCTGACAAAATAAAACCACTGCTACAGAAACTTTAAAGCTCTCACTTGAAGCCTTGTGTTCCGAAGGTAACACAAAGGGGAAAAAGAAAAAAGACTAAGAGTCACACTAATCATGTGATGGTTGCTGATACCTACCAAGTTATTTAAGCTGAAGTAAGTGAGGCTGGACTCATCTGGTGAAAACCGAGCGGTCGGTCGGTTTTCGACATAGAACTTTGCACAAATGTGCGGCAGTTCAAGTCGCCACACTCCAAGCACACAAACCGAGCACTCAAGCCGATATACTACATTTCTTGATTGAAACAGGTGAAGTGAGATCCGAACACATGTCATTTAGGGTAAAAGTGAAATGCCAAAATCAATAAGGCTCATCCTCACTAAATCCTCCAGTGACCAGGTTATTGTGGAACTGTTGCTTATTGGTCTAGGCGCTTAACTTCCAGCCACTGGGTCACGGGTGTGAACTCTGCTCAATGCAATGTGGTATAGGCAGCTCAGTGCAGCATAATGACTCCTCAAGCAATAGGTGTGACTCATTACCAGCTGCGTGGGATTGAGAATGGTTATTGATTCGCATTGAGTTGAGTTGACCAAGTTATTAGGTATCATTCAATTTTAAAAGTGGTCAATAATGAGTTAAATACCTTAATACTAAACCTTACTACTTGTTTATTCAGTGTAATGTAATTTGAAATCTTATAGAGGATTTTTTCAGACACATAATATTGATGAGAGATAAACACAAAGAGGTAAATTCAAACAGCTGGTCTTACAACTCCTGGACATAATAGGTTTTGTACTCGTTAGCACTCTCGTCAGTAAAGTATATCTGTAACCTCGAAGAGTTTTGATGTCTATTCGGATATCAAGAGGATTTATACAATATGTAATTATACTCTACGACAGTGCTCAAATCCCGACCGATAGCTGCTACCTTGACGTGGTAGTCGGGCTTGCATATCGCAATGACCCAACAAGCTACACTGACTGGAACTATTGTTCCTGCAGGTCCTGCAATGCCACGAAGCTTGTTATGATAGCGATTAAACTAAAAGCAGTTACCAGCAGTGTAAGAATTTTTTACACTATGCTGGGGGTCTGTGGACGAAGTCATACTGTTGGGGAACAGGAATGTAACGGCAGTAAGGTGTTTCTCTGTACGGATTCAGAAGGCTCGTTTCGCATATGCCAGTTTACACCGTCTCTGGCGTAGACGTGATATCCGGCTGGCTATCGACCAAAAAGACGTGTGCACTGCACACCAGCAGTTCGCTCCATCCTCCTCCTTTATGGCTGTAAGACCTGGCCATTGGAATTGGAAGACATGAAAAGGCCGGCTAACTGTCTTTGATCATAGGTGCCTGCGTTCTATCTCCCATGTGAAGTGGTATAATAGGGTGAGCAAAACTGAGGTTAGTCGTCGGGTGCTAGGTAAGGAGGGGAAATCATTCGACGAGGCTGTGAAGTTACATAGACTGAGATGGTTAGGACATGTGCTACGTATGCCTAGCCATCCACTGCCTCCTCGAAGGGCAATGTTAGGTGATATAGGGTCAGGCTGGAAAAGAGTCACTGGTGGTCAAACCAAAACATGGCTTCATCAGTCAATGAAATCCACAACAGTTAGTTAAAGCCACATAGGGAGGTGTAGACTTCGTGGTTGGGGTCCTCGGGACGGTAGAAACCAATGGCTGGAGACAATTGGTGATATGGCTCAAAATCGTTGTCAATGGCTGATGCAGGTGCATCCACTCCTTGTAACTTATAATACTCAATGAAACTATATTGTTCTTCGATATTACTATTCTTTTTGCCCTATATCTCTGTTTACTGTCACTATTTTGCATTTCTCTTTACTTTCTTCTCTTGCTTTGTGTGCAACATGGAGGGTGGCGTCTCGAACTGCTGCACATATGTGCAAAGTTCTATGTTGAAACCAGTCAGTCAGTCACAGTGCTGAAATCTTACTCTTCTTAGATTAATTTACGGTTTATTTTCGCTTACTCTGATTGGTTCCTTCAAGTTCATTCGCTTGGATCACAACTTTTTCACTTCGTTTATTTCGCCTTACTGAAATCATTCATATGATTATTCTAAATTTCTTTACTATAAAGTACTACTTCCCAGATTTAAGTAGTAAATTTGATTATATGCAGAAATAAAACGCTTAAAAGAATACTACTACTACTAATAATAATAATAAAAGCGTAAACTAATAATTATTTTAAAAAGGGATACTTACCTGCAGTAGAACTGAATTCTCCAGGAATACTGCCAATGGTAATTTACGCAGTGAATTCATTGATGCGGACTATTTCACAGACGGAAAAAGAAACCACCACCCCCGAAAAAAGAAAACAGAAATGGAAAGGAAACAGTTGAAATGGCAGCAGCAATAGAGACAGGAAATCAATAAATTAATCACAAGTGAAAGTATAACAAAATGAAATTTTTAAAACAAAACGACAAAATTAAATTTAAAACTAGAACAAAACTACAAAATGATAAATAATAAATAAATAGGTAAAAATTCACCTAGTTTTTAAGAGTTTATTTGTAGAGATTTTATTTGTTTTTTTTTTACGTTTGATCATGGATTAATGAGATATCCGTTAGAGAACCACTGAAAACCAGTAGGGAGTACTGGACAGTTGTTTGGTCACCCTGGTTTAGGACTCATGGGCAGCACACACCCACCAGAGGCGTTCGAACCCTGTAAACTAACTTTTGAAAATTAATCTGGCGTTCACCAGTGACTGGCTGCAGGAAAAGGCTGATGGAGTTCTAGTAAGAGGTCGTGACCAGTGGGGTTCACCTGGTCGAGCGGGAGTGGGGACAAATACTCGCTGCCGGTGATACTGGTCGATGGTTGCTCTCAAATCACGAATTAGTCGAAGTTAGAATTCATGGGCCGCCTATTGAGTCTGGTCCTAGTAACTGAATGATATGCAAGCTCGCCTTGTGACTGGAAGGTCTTGGGTTCAAACCCTGGCCGTAGGTGCGCACTGCTGTTGAGACCCAAACTAGGCCAACGAAACAGCTGTCTAGTACTCCAAGTTGGTTTTCAATGCTTCTATAACTGATATCATTAATCCGTGATCAAATCTGACGAAAACGAAAACAAATCCCTGCGAACAAATTCTTGAAAATAATTATACTAATAACAACGCACTTATCTTTCGTAATATACAACTAAGTTAGAAAGAAAGGCTATCTAGAAAAAAATCGAATTCTTAAACAAGTTTTAAATCCGTGTTATAAATACATATATTTGTTTAAATTCTTCTGTACCACTGTAAACAACACTATGATCAATGTTCAATAGTTAATTGAATTACTTCAAAGTTCAATGGATTTATGTATTTGTGTGTGTGTGTGTGTGTAGGTGGATGAGTGTTTGATAAAATTGAAGCGGGAAAATTGGCAGATTATTCAATGATTCAATGTTTACAATCTATTAACACTCATTATACTGGTGTTTATATTTAGTTTAAATCTATTCTACTTCTTCTTTTATCAAGAGGAAGTAAAAATTAAGTGAACAAAAGTTGAACACTAGTCAGAAGACAATTTAGTTAGAGAAATAAAAAAAACACAACTAGAAACCTCTTTAAATGATTTAAACAAAATGAAATTCCTATGCAAAGTTGTTCATATCACTTTACAAAACAAAAGGACAGATAGATTAGTTAGATGTTTAGGTATTTTAGAATTTTGTTTGGACAATCAATAGGGTTTTCATTTTAAAAAAAGGAGTGTAGATTTTTCATCACAAATCGATATTATTTAGAGAAGCAACAAAGGTTGGCTGTTTCGTCCTATTTCGGGAATCTTCAGTGGTACATATCAAGGAATCCTACAGGGACTAAAACCAGAACCTTTAGGTCAGGCGAGCATTTTTCTTCACTCTGGGGCTTGATGGATCCCACTGGTCACAAATTTCCACTAAAACCCCAGAGGCGATTTCATCCTGTAGTTAGTCACTAGAGAACATTAGATTAATTGCCTTATGGCAGTTTGCGGGGATTCAGTTGATTTCAAATATGATCACGAAATAAATTTGGTTAAAGAAACATTGAAAATCAGGGAGTACTAGACAATTGTTTCATCCTAGCTGGAGACTATTCGTCAGCACGCACCCACAAGAGTTTGAATCTGATGCTCGCTAGTGACTGATACTACAGGACAAAGTTGCCTGGAGTTCTGTTGAGAAGTTGTAACCATTGGGGCCCACCAAGTTGGAAGTGAGGACAAATACTCGTCGGTGGATGACATTAGCTGGTGCCAGTCGCGCTAAATTGTCGAAGTTAATAATAATAATAATTTGCTTTATTCCAAAACAGCACTTGTGATACAGAATGGAATTCTCAGCATTTTTACTACAGTATTGCATCCAGTTAGTACATTATCAATAAATAAAATTCTACATAGATTAAGGAAATCTCACTTCATTATGACAACAACATATTGGCATATCGGTAGCAAAGCCAAAGTTGAACAGTGTTTGAAGGTGTTAGAAAAGTAGGTGCTGTCATATTTACTGGCGTAAGCGGAAGAAAGAAACAAAGCAGCACATAACGGAAAAAGAGAGAGGGAGGGAAAAGAAAGAAAGAAAACGTTGTACCTATAAATGATATGAGTTGGAAAGACGAGGTCCAGTTGTTCTACTGACTATTTAATGAATTATAGGTGTCACACCTAATGCTTTCTTTATCGCACAGAACACGAGCTAAGTAGGGTATGGTTGAGTTTTTGTACTTGCTGGTGCGAGCATATAGTTTTCTATATAGGCTTCTGGTTTTGCCTGATGAGATGCAAGGGGAGAGTTGTGAATGAAGAGGGTGGTGTGAGTTAGATAAAATGGATTTGGCCCATTTTTCACATGAGTCCATGTGCCTGTCAACCAGAATATTAACAAGCTGGTTAAGTGGCACGTTGCTTACCCTGCTGACAACCTTTAACATCCTGCGTAATATGTTATAGTCTTTCTTCAGTAGCCCGGGAAAAACTAAGGGGGAACAATAGAGAATAATAGGCAGAATGCGAGAGTTAACGAATTGTAGGAGTAAGGGTTGGGTTATACCAGAATGTCTTAACTTCTTGATGTAGAAGGTAAGACGGAATATTTTCTTAGAAATCATCAAGATATGAGACGACCAGGAGAGATCAGCAGATAGAATGACGCCTAGGTATTTAATTTCCGACTTGGTTACTATTTCAGTGCCATCTATGTTGCACACCTCGTGAGAGCTAACCAATTTATTTAGGTCGGATTTATGCCTAAAGGTGAAATTGACTGTTTGGCATTTGGAGGGGTTTAAGGTAAGACCATTTTCCTTGGACCACTGGCTGATTTCTGATAGAAAGCCATTTAGTTTAGAGCAGTCACTTTGACATTTGACAGGCAAAGCTACAGTCAGGTCGTCAGCATATTTGACAAAATTAATATCATTTGAAGATGGTAAGTCATGTAGAAAGAAAGAAAAGAGAAGTGGGGAGAAGTTGGATTTCATGGACTGGTTACTGGGTTAGGTCTCAGTATCTGCGAGCTTTTCTTGTAACCGAGATGTCCTAGGTTCCCCCCCCCTCCAGTAGGCGGGTACTTCTGAGGAGTCTCAAAATGAGACAAAACAGTTGCTCGAGTACTTCAATGATTCTCTAATTGAGCAATATCAATCCATGGTCAACCTTGAATAGAGGATAACCTTGAAGAGTGAGTGCATCAATCACTGGAAGCGGTAGTTGATTAACTAACTGATTATCAAACTGATTTCAAGTTTATATATCCACCAGATCAATGATAGAGGCTTACTTACTACTTACTTATCACGTGATTGTAGAATTTCTTTCTATTGTACACACATAAGTTGCCATTTAGTAGTTAAATAATAACACACAAACGTTTATTCATGTTTTGCATCGATGCCTGTGATATTTGATTAGAGGATACAACCTTGACCTAAACTAATAATGTGGATGATAATAATAATATCTGTTTATTATGATGATTATTTATGAACGAACAGGAGAGGAACACACACACAAAAGAGTGAATATGTTTCATTTACACACTTCTTATTTGTTATTCATTTATTGATAAATGGAAATTCATGATAATGATGGTGTGAGGGAATTAGTTAGTTAGTTTAAGCGGTAAAGGTTAAACAACAATCTGAATATACTGTAGCCGTATTGAATTTATAGTCAGCATTCATCTGAAATAATAATCAAAATAATAATAGTAAGGCCTCTTTCAATCTTTCCAGGGTCAGAACAAGTGTTATTCTACGTACGGCATAGTTTCCTACATAGACGTCAGTGGTTAGCCGGGGGGGGGAGTGGAGATAACAGGAAAGGGGAGTATGTTAGTGGTAGAAACTACAGTTGTACACGTGGTGTCATGTACACATAGACGCATGATTACGTGTGTGTGTGTGTGGGTGTGTGTGGGGGGGGAGAGAGTATAAACTTCAGTTAGCATGAAGCACAGCCTAATCTAGTCAGTTATGTGTTCTAGGAGGCAGGCAACAACAAGCAATAACAAGACCTGTGTGCGTGCATGTGTGCGCGTATATACACACTCATACATGCGTAAACATATCAAACACCTGCTGTTTAGTTTCTATAACAAAGATTTTTTTCATTGAATTAGTTAGTTGTTAGCTTAGAAGTAGGTCTAGGAGATGACGGTGTGCATGTGTGCCAGTATGCGTGGCGGACGTGGCGGGACGGATAAGATAGGCACAATAAATCAAGGCACATGTAGAGATCAATAATAATAATAATTCTATTTTACACACATGTTCATAATTGGTTGTAATATGATGATGATGATGATGGTTATTCTTATTGTGTGCTACACTAAAGCAGAGATAGTTTCATTCAATTGTATGATTGAGACTTTAGAGAAGGAGAGAAAAACAAGATTTTGATAGATACAAGGGATTATTATTATTATTAGAAAGACGAGAAAATGATTCATACACCTATTGAATCATCCTTGCCACATACATACACACATAGATAGATATACACAAGTCGAGTCAAATGAACAAAGAAACATAGTCAATGTGATTGGTGATTGTACACTTACCTAATAACAGTTTATACTACTTGTAGAATTAACAAAAGATAAATAAACCAAGTATAAATTAAAAACAACGCGAAAATAAGAAATCATTGTTATTCAAATGTTGGTTCGCCGAAGACATTGGCTAGCGGTCGCGCTATGTCGTGAATTGGCAGAAGTTAGAATTCATGCACTGGCCATTGGATCGGGTCCCAGTGGCTTAATGGTATACTAGCTGGCCTTGTAACCAGAAGGTCCTGGGTTCGAGTCCCGGTGGGTGCGTACTGATGAAGAGTCCCAAACTAGGAGGAAACAGCTGTCCAGTACTCCCAGGTTTTCCAATGGTTCTCTAACTAATGTCAGCTCATGATGAAAATCCTGAAAGAAATCATTGTGTTGCTTTATACATCTTTGTAACAGGAGTAAGATGTTAATTTCAATCGTTAGGTTGTCGTCGTCGTCACGAATCGACATTACAGTTATAGGGGGATCATTGAAAACCAACTGGAAGCATGGGAGAGCTGTTTCATCTTACAATCTCTTTAGGACTTGGTCCAGGGTCCGATCCCTCCTTGGTAGGCTATCCTATGCCGCCCCCCGCCTCCCTTTTTAACTGATGTTGGTGTTCATGACGAAAATCCAATAACCGAAATCAATCCATCTGAATGCCTAGATGTTGATTTCAACAATTAGAAGACTAATCGAGGTTAATAAACAGCAGACGACTGTTCCGTTTTAATTTTCACCTCTCTGGTGGGGGCAAACTGATGGTGTCCAACCTAATATTACGCTATGTGCTATCGAATCGATAGGATTGGGGATTCATGGACGATAGGAACATCATTCCAGTCATTGAAATGGTTAAGGTCACACCTAACCTCAAGGTCCTGGGTTCCAACCTTAGCTGAGGAGTCATGGGCAGGTGCTGTTGAAGCGTTTCAAACTAGGACGAAGTAGCTTTCCGGTACTCTTCTCTAATTTTTAATTGGTCAGATAACGGGGACTGTAGAGAACAAGATGAGATGAACATATACTGTTGAAGGACTATATTCTATATTTTTGATTGCACACTAGTCAGTAACTAGTGTAATGTGTCTAGTCCTATCTTCGGTGCAGACTGAATTCTATCAGTCATGTTTGCAATGTGGCCACCATACTAGGTGGCTCGCCATTACGGTACACTGTGAATTGTTGGCCACATTGCAAACATGACTGATAGAATTCAGTCTGCACCGAAGATAGGACTAGACACATTACACTAGTTACTGACTAGTGTGCAATCAAAAATATCCAATACAGTCCTACAGGAGGTCAGTCGCGAGCCTGAATAGCTCAGTGGTAACGTCTCTGACTGCAGCACTGGGTGACGCGGGTTCGAATCTCAGAAGGGACATCAGTTCCTTCAAGGTTGCAGATACGCCTTGCTGATGAGTGCCAACTAGCACGAAACCTAGATCCAAGGCTTCCTGTTCTTCCGACTATATTCTAATCGGAACGCAAGGGATTAATATTAATAATGATAATAATAATAACAACTCAAGGTGGCTATCTCAGACAATCTCACCATCAGCTGATAGATCGATAAACTAGTAATTCAGAGGCCGGTTGTTCTAATGCCGAAATCACCCATTTACTACTTCAATAATGCAGTCTGTGAACAATGTAAGACTATATTAGTTAGATTGTCTCATTATCAAATATTTATATTGTATATCTCAAAACTTGCGTCGGTAGCATAGCGGTTAGGACGCTCGCCAACCATGCACATGGTCCGGGGTTCGTTCCCCGGCCGACGCACTCCTTTACCTCGCTAAGCCAGAAATAATGCTGGTGAAGAGGAAAGGTTGGGCATGAGGCTAGCAACCCCATCCTGTAAAATAAACACTGCTACAGAAACTTCAAACCACTAGCTTGAAGCCCTATGTTCCACTGGGGAACGTGACGAAAAAAAAATATCTCAAAACTTACATTCCATTGATTTAAACGACTCATTCGATCTGAGTCAGTTTGTTGTTGTTGTTGCTGTTGTGTATTGTCATTGGTGATAGTAACTTGTTCATAGGATTGTTTGAATCACCATCAGGATAACTGCTGATAAACGACGATGATGTCTCCAGTACACCTTCATGATGATTCATACTCATATCTAAGTTAGGCAAATCAATTAACATTGATTTTAAACGTTTATAAGTATTGATTAATTGACAATAAATTGTGCGTAATTTACGTTCTTCTATTCTAGACCAGTTAGATAAGTGAATATAACTATTAGTGTTGTTGTTGTTATTAGGAGTAGTACTCAGATTTGGAGGATTAGTATTAGTATTTGACGTTTGATTGTGCTGTTGTTGTTGTGGTTGTTGTTGAAGACAATGTGAAGGTTGACTACTACTTATATTATGATGATGATGAGTAGTATGTGTCGTGTTCCCCAGTGCATCTGATGAATCTGAAGAATCTAAATCTGATTCATAGAATGATGCTGAGGATTTCGTTAAAAATGTCCATAATGGCGGTAAATTGTCCAATAATGAATTGAACAGGAATAGATCGGATTGACTATTCAACTTATTATTACTATTACTATTACTACTATTACTGTTATTATTATTACTATTATTATTGTTTACGCCATAAGTTTGATAAAAATGTCCAAATAATAAAGAAGATGAAGAGGAGGAGAGTAGAAATGGTGGATTTAAAAATGGCTGTTGATGATGGTGTTGAGATTGTTGGCTAAGCAGGAGTTGTTGTTGTTGTTGTTGTTGTGAGGAGACTTCATTCATACTGCTGCTACCAGCACCTGAATCTGGAGTCTCCCAGCCTCCGCCACCACCCCCATTACCAGTATTTCCACCTGTACTACTCATAGTTTGATTTGCACTTATATGAGGAGAATATGAGGATTTCAAAAATGTACGCATTTGTGGATTATTGCTCGCGCTGTTCATTCGAATAGCGTGTTGTTGCAATTGATGATTCATTGATGGGAATGAACCATTCACATTAGTCTGTTGTTGTTGTTGTTGTTGCTGTTGCTGTTGTCGGAATTGATGATCACCATTAGCTCGTGAACGATTCAGGCTAACATACCAGGAATTAGCATAGACACTGTTATTATCTAATAAACTATTCGATGATGTAATAGCTGATTGAATGGAGAAGACACCTGGACTAACAGGAGACTGAGATGGATGCTGTTGTTGTTGTTGGGATTGATGATTAGCGATAGTTCCACGTGGGTGAGACAGGCCACCACCACCACCACCAGCAGCAGTTGCTCCTGCCACTGAAGGTGTTGTCGCCATTGTTGGTGCATTCATCATCATCATGTTTGGCATACACGTCGTTGGCAGAATCTTCTCATAACCACCGTCGGATGTTTCATATTTATCCAATACTGTATAGGCTAAGAATTCAGCTTGTTGTCTACAAAGGAATAAAAGAATAAAATACACAATGATGTCAGCATTTATCAATTCAACAAATTATGAAGAATATCATGTACACATTTTTATTATTACAGTATATACTACTAATTGAAGTGAATGATAGTAGCTGTAAATGTTGTTGAACATTGAATAGTTTGTTTGTTCAAACTGATCTCCATAATATTGGCGGGAGACAAGAAGGCTGTTGTCGCTTAATTATGTACTCCTTGGCAGAAGATTGGAGAAATACAATCAAAAGTATTGTTGTATATTATATCAACGTTTATTTACAGACTTTAGCACTGATTAACCACTGTAAATCTGTTTCGTTATCGCTTGAAGAATCGCGTTGCCCAACCGTTTTCTGTTGTTCCGCATCGGTAACACTACATAGTGGATTTCATTGACTGATGAAGCCATGTTTTGGTTTGACCACCAATGGCTCTTTTCCAACCTGACCCTGTATCAGCTAACATTGCCCGTCGAGGAGGCAGTGGATGGCTAGGCATACGTAACGCATGTCCTAACCATTTCACTCAATCGATGTGACTTCACAACCTCGTCGATTGATTTCCCCTCCTTACCTAGCACTCGACACCTAACCTCAATATTGCTCACCCTATTATACCACTTCACACGGGAGATAGAACGCAGGCACCTATGATCAAAGACAGCTAATCTTTTCATGTCTTCCACTCTCAATGACCAGGTCTCACAGACATAAAGGAGGACGGAGCGGACTGCTGAGCAGTTCACCTGCCCTTTGGTCGATAGGCGGATATCACGTCTACGCCAGAGACGGTATAAACTGGCATATGCGAAACTAGCCCTCTGTATCGGTGATTAGATTTCGTTAGAGATCAACCCGTTGGGGCTGATGGTACTTCCCAAATAAGTGAAGTGGTCAACGTGCTCTACCACTTCACTCCCTATTTCTAAACTGAAACGTTACCACTGAGCTATTCGGGCTGGCGACTGACCTCCTGTAAGACTGTAGTGGATGGTTTGATTGGACACTATCAGATAGTGTGTCAGTGCGAACGTTAATTTAATCACGCAAGACTATATATTAATTTTTATTTACGACCATTTACTCTAATATCTGACGTTCAAATTATGACTACATTCTGGTCTTCAGAATCTTTATGGAAAAGAGGAAAAATCGATAATTTTGATACCCTGTCATCAACTCTTGTATACATATGAATAACAATAAAAAAAGACTGATCAGTGAACAAAGAATATTGCTTTTTGATAAATTGTTCATCAGATCCTACAGTCATCAATCGATAGTGGTTACAGAATAATTGTCATTGTCGTGTGTGTGCATGTGTGGCCCCATTGCAAACCGGACTGATAGAATTCAGTCTGCACCAAAGAATGGACTAGACACATCACACTAGTTACTAGTGTCCAATCAGAGTTATACGTGATCCAAAACTGATACGCTAGGCAGCAGACGAACAAAACTGCTGCTGATCTGTCCAAATAGCAAACACTATTGCTTGAGGTGAGTAGTCTCTAACTAATTAACTCATATCAGTCAGCCACCAAGTTAGGTGGACTAGGCGGTAAAGAGTCAGCAGGTATTGTGGCCAAAGTTCGGGTCTAGCTGGATAAATGCGGCAAATAGCAATCATGAGCGTTATTTCTAGTTGAAACCAACTGGAAACGAGATCGAAGTTATTCAGGGACAGCCTAACTAACTGGTTTCCTAAAGACTTACACCCGAATTTACCTCTTTACCGGGCTTAGTACCAGATGAACAGGGTTTAGGAGTAAGGTCCACCGAGAATGAATCTCAGGTCATTTGTGTGGTTGGAAAGCATTCTACAACTGAACCGCCGACGCATATCAGTCAGTAATATATATATGCAATCAGAAATTGCAAGAACTGGCGCGGAATCATGCTCTTGTCCATGCCGATTAAAATACTAAGTCATGTCATCCTGAAAAGAATAAAAAATGCACCGGCTACTGTACTACTCCAGGAACAAGCTGGATTCAGCAAAGGCAAATCATGTGCTGGTCAAATCGCAACTCTACGCACCACGATTGAACGAAGCGTAGAATGGCAGTCAGATCTCTACCTCGACTCTGAAAAGGCCTTCAACAGAGTTGACCGAGAAGTAATTTGGAAATTGCTTCGACACTATGGATTGCAGTGCCCCAAATCTTCATCAACCTTATTCAACAGCTGTGTGACAGTGGCAAATATCAGATGACTCACATAGGAAAACTCAGCGAAACCTTTGAAGTGAATGCAGAAGCAAGACAAGGCTGTCTAGTATCGCCTTTTCGTGGAGTGGATTATGTGGAAGACTGTGCATGGGAGCAAGAAGACGCGAATATGCTGGACCAATAAGAAGGGTCTAGAATATCTGGACTCCGCTGATGATTTATGTTTGAAGTCACACAAACTCAAAGATTTACAGGAGAAAACCAACTAACTGGCAGAAGAGGCAAGCAGCAAAGACTGGTGATGAAGATAACCAACCAACCAACAACAACAACCAGCACCAATCACTATAAACGGGAGAAATCTGAAAGAGGTCGCTTCCTTCACTTATCCCACCAGGAAGCATCGTTTCAAATACCGGCAATAGCACGGATGAATATGTCAAAGCCAGTCAGCATCGGAAAGGCAAAGTACACCTTCTTCAATCTGAAATCAGTTTGCAAATCTTCTGCACACAGTCAGCATAAACAACAAGATTCGGATTTTCAACACAAATGTGAAGTCAGTCAATCAGCCACTTCTCCTATGTGGGTCATAAACTTGACACACACACATCACCAAGAGCATTTCCAACAGGCGACTGCAGACCTTTGTCAAAAACTGCCACCTTCGCTGGCTGGCTGGCTGGCTCCATATTGAAGATCAAATGTCCGGTTGGCCAGAAAGAATTAGCAACAAGAAACTCTGCAGTGGAACAAACTAACCAAGAACTTATTGTTCAACATATCTTTAGAAAAGAATGGAGATGAATCAGACATAGGCTCAGGAGTCCGTTTGATGACATTGAGCTCCAGGCCATCACTCGAGTGGAACCCGAATGGGAAAAAATGAGTGGGGCGTAGCTCCGAGGGTAGACATGGAGGAGATCGTGCTAGGAGGAGGTAAGATATTACAGGAAATTGTGTGAACAACTAAGGAGGATCGCAGAGATTAGAACAAAGTGCAGAAGTGCCGCTGAAGCCCTATTTTCCACTCGGACCCCAAGGGGACAACAATAATAAAATAGTAATAATAATACGCAATCATATTATACATTTAATACTGTCAACTTACCTAAATAATTTCAATGTATTTAAATTAAAATTATTTGGTAAAATTTGTTGTCCATGATTTGATAAATCATGTTCTTCTGAACCTGTAGAATTTGTTAAAGAAATCACAGCATATGGTTGATGTAGCATCGATGGCGGTTGACATTGTTGGGATGGGAACTTTTTCAATGACTGTTGCTGTTGTTGTTGCTGGTGCTGCTGAGATTGAGTTTGCTGTTGTTGTTGTTGTTGCTGTAATTTATTATTTGATGGTGATGATTTACTATAACCATGAAATGATGAAGATGATGTAGAAGATGAAATTGTTGAAAATGGATGTTTTGGAAGTAGATGCTTTTGTGTTTGACGACAGATTGTTACAGCTAATTCAGTTGAATACAACTAAAGAGGATGAAAAGGAACATAGTGGTAGTGATCATAGTAATGAGGATATGTTGTGAAAGCAAGACAGGCATTTATTACTCTGAAAACAGTGTGAAGGTCCGCAACACATAAGTACAAGGAACACGACCAGTATTTATCACACTAACGTTCACACAGCAAGTCATCAAAAGCATTTCACAACAGGGTACTACAGATTTTCATCAACAACCACGTTCTCTTGAAGCAGAAGACCCTCCAGAAGGGATAATTAACAAGGAAATCTGGCAGAGAACCAGCAAACAACTTATAGTTTCCAACTAATATGTTCAAGGAAATGGAGATGGATTAGACATTAGCTACCCTAAGGAGACCGTCGGGTGACATCATCAGATGAAACCAGAATGGAAACAGACGGATTAAGCCACCAAAGGTGAAATGGAGAAGATCATGTGAAGATGGAGTAGTAGCTTGCGGCAATCTTACTTACTTACTTACTTTACTTCGGCTATCTCCTACGGGAGGATGAGCCGGCTTCATGAACATCTCGAATCGTTTGTAACAGAGTTCATGAAGTTTCATGGGAATTTGGTACGAGTGATGTCCCCAGAATCGCTCGGCCTTTTGTTTGAGAGTGCAGCTCTAGCCTTTACACAACCAAGTGTGACCTACAAGGCAGTAGGAGTGGAGTAGGGAGTCTACTATCCATTGGCAGCCGGTGACCGGAGTTCGGTTCATACGCCTTTTTGAATGGGGCCAGACATCCAGGACATCCAACAAGCCCTTTGTCCATACGTCTGCCGGTGAGCTCCAGTGAGCTTCATACGCCAGTCGTTGGAGGTTTGGAATCAGGGTTTAGCCATCCAATGGACAGTCAACCCGGTGAAGAGCGCCGGGCATCCGCTTTCGCCCTCTCACTTTGGTGAAAAACACCTCCGCCACGTGAAGGCAGTGAGTAGGACTTCCTCAGGAGAGGCTATGTAAGACGCCCGGTCGTATGGGAGCATTTCAAGAGGTGTGTGGAGGGGTGGCCAACCTGTGGCACCCACCCCCGACCATCCTGAGGCTTTGGAGGCGGGCAGTCTTGGAATTAGTTGGAAGTGATGGCGGAGAAACCAAGTGGAATGAAGATGTGCTGATGCTGAAGCTTCAAGTTCCACTCAGAACGCAAAGAATAAATTATATACATATACCCAGTCCGAGAAGAAGACGGAAGCGAGTCTTCAGTTCGATAACAGAAAACTACTGTAAACTCAGGACATTTGGCTTTAGTCTAGAAATCCTTCAAAGTATTATAAAGGATCTGATCAAACGTCTCACTCAGAGGGCTGAATGAAATCGACACACATGAGCATAGCTGAAACATTAGTAATCAAAGAAATTAGACCAACTATGTATCCAAAGAGAGTGGTACGTTCAACCATTGTCTTTGTTATGGCCACATCTTAGCCAATATATTTTCTCAAGAAAAGCATTAGTTTTTAAGGAGTTGATCATGGATTGATATCAGTTACGGAACCATTGAAAACCAGCTGGGAGTACTGGACAGATGTTTCATTCTAGTTTGGGAATCATCGGCAGTACGCATTCACTGGGGTTCGAACTCAGGACCTTCCGGTTACAAGGCAAGCATTATTATCTAATTTCGTTATGTAACTTAAACTTCTTATTCGCTATATTTTAATCTGACAGGAAATAATTTCGGGACTGGCCGAACATCACATCCACATCAGAGATGGCGTAAGTTGACAAGTACCACAGGAGACTTATTTTGCAATTAATAGTGTTCTCTGAGCTGGTTGGTTGAGTTGCGAAGCTTTCGTCGTCCTTCTGGAGAACATCTTCAGCTCAGAGAACACTATTAATTGCAAATCATCCACCTGAGCTACAAATCTTCTCTATTAGGAGCCTTATTTTATCCGTGTTAAGATTTCATCAGCAGTCAGTCCATTAAGGCTATTGCAAATCCCCAAACAAGTCAAATGATTAACATGTTCAACCACTTTATTGCCTACCCTTAAACTAGGAAACGATGCAGACTAGTCCTGTAGCAATATCTTACATTTTACAATGGCGAACCACTTGCCGAACATACCAAGATTTTCGCAGTTTATTTAGAAGACTAACCATTTCGTCAGTGGCTTCATATTGAAAGACAATATTATCCGCATACTCTAAGTCGACGAGACTGTTACCTTGTGACAAGTCGATCAGGATCACATCCGCTAGTACATCTGTGACATTTGGCATCCATAACTGACACCAGTGGATGTCATCATTTCAGGTGAAAACTCTGCATAAACTCTTATGCCTTGATCAGTGTGGTACACTTCCTCGGTGAAGATGGCTCGCTAGCCTGAAGAATAGTGCTAGCTGTAGTAGAGCAGCAAGATGGGAAAGGTGAGGTAAGTAGGGGAGAGTATTGCTCAGGTAGGCTTCGTGTGCTTTTGGAGGTGTGTGGGCGGTTGTTACTTCCGGGCTGCCCACACCGTGGAAGTTGGTTGGGTCTTCGGGTACCTGAAATAGAGAAGAGGTTAGTGTTGCGTGACCGCAGAGCCCAGGGGACAACTGCTTGAGGCCGGTCATACGCGGCCTGTTTTTGTTTGTTTTTTCTTGTTTGGTGTGTCTCAGTAGCGTATTTATCACTTCTGCCCTGTGACACGGCAGCAGAAAGCGCGGTCGTTGTTAATCCGGGCCCCGACCGATCCGGCATGATGTTTTGTGGATTTATTTGAATCATGGTGTAGGATTGGGTAGCTGCTTTTTGTTTAACCGCTATCGAAACAACCTTTCTGGCATGGTAGGACCTACAGGAACATACGTTCCAGCCAGTGTAGCTCGTTGGGTCATTGCGATATGCAAGCCCGACCACCACGTCGAGGTAGCAGGTATCGGCCGGTACTCCTCGGTACTCCCTTTACAGTCAAGCGTTGTCACAACATCTTTCGGTCAACAGAGTCGAATACCGCCCTCAAGTCAAGAAATATGCCAAATGTTGAACGCTGATAGGTATGCCTAGGTTTTACAATCTATCCAAGAGTAAAGAATTGACCAATAGTGATTACACCCCAGTAACCAATTAGTGTTGACAAAGACTCTATAGGTGTTGAAAGGAGAGACACAAAGTGAAAAATGAGCTGAACCAATTCTTCACCTACCTGATTTAAACAATCACTAATTTCTAAGGCTGCTTCAGACATTTGTACAGCTCGTACAATAACTGACCAATTCGCTTCAATTTGATTCAATTGACATTGCATATGATCAGCATTGGATTTAATCTCAGCTAAATTAGCTTGCAGAACTAAACAATCCGCTCGATAACGTGCCAGTTTTGTTAATAAACGACGCCATATCAATTGAGCACATTGAAATGCTTCAGATAAACGTGGATATGGTGATGAATTAGCCAAACTGGCCAAGAGAATTAATAAAGCGTTAGGTGAAAATTGACTAGGTAGATAATTTTTTGCCATTTCATCATCAGCAGTTTCATGATCATTCGATTCTAATAGAATCATTTCTTCTGCACTGATATGATCAAATAAAGATTGTTCAAAGTCTAAGGGTACACCACCTGCACCTGCACCTCCACCACTCGTCGTTGTGGTTGTCGCTGATGAACAAGATCCAATTGTAAAACCTGAGGGAATATTCTGTTTATTACTATGAAGGATATTATATTCATAATATTGTTTCAATGTTTGTGTTATCCATTCTGGTTCAGGTAGATCATAAACATTAGAATTGATTTGTCCTGATGTATTGATTGTCTCTGTTACACCGGTTGTTGTTGCTGTTGACGTGGATTGTGTTGTCATCGTTATGCTGCCACCGATTCCTGCGTCAGGATTAATCTGATCTGAAGAATTGGTCTGAAGAAGAAGAAGAAGTGGGGACAAATAGATACACAGGAATTAGGGTACTTCAAGAAAGGGAATTTTATAATTGTTAAATCGTAATCAATTACTTATCTGAGTGTGATATGTGAGTAATATAATAATATAATAATAATAATAATAATACCGCCAGCTTTATTCTGGACAAACTGTTAGCACAATGTACAGAATTCTCAGCGTAATTTATTACATAATATCTTCTCTTCATCCAGGAGTTTTCCAAGTAAGATAGCGATCGATAGTATATCATATGACGCAATATTGTCCGTTCTGAAGTATAGACTAATCCCACGTTCTTCTCCATTATCCCCAAAGAATGCTCACCAGTGGTTTCAAAGCCAATCAGGAATATTCATGAGTAGATTTAGCGACTCAATGACATGATTGAATGCGTAAAAACATTAACAATTTGAGAAAAATACGATGCTGTGTGTTGGATAGAAACTGAAGTAGTCCAGCAGTTCAAGCAAGCCACTGTTGAAGTTGCTTTGTAGTCCACTGTGTTAAGCGTGAAATCGATTTTCATCAACGACATCAGTTGGTAGTTAGAATTCATGAGTTACAAAACTGGCTGGCTCCCATGAGGTGTGTAACATAGATGGCACTGAAATAGTAACCAAGTCGAAAATTAAATACCTAGGCGTCATTCTGTCTGCTGATCTCTCCTGGCCGTCTCATATCCTGATGAATTCTAATAAAATATTCCGTCTTACCTTCTACATCAAGAAGTTAAAACATTCTGGTATAACCCAACCCTTACTCCTACAATTCGTTAACTCTCGCATTCTGCCTATTATTCTCTATTGTTTCCCCTTAGTTTTTCCCGGGCTACTGAAGAAAGACTATACCTTATTACGCAGGATATTTAAGGTTGTCAGCAGGGTATACAACGTGCCACTTAACCAGCTTGTTAATATTCTGGTTGACAGGCACATGGACTCCTGTGAAAAATGGACCAAATCCATTTTATCTAACTCACACCACCCTCTTCACTCACAACTCTCCCCTTGCATCTCATCAGGTAAAACCAGAAGCCTATATAGAAAACTACATGCTCGCACCAGCAAGTACAAAAACTCAACCATACTCTACTTAGCTCGTGTTCTGTGCGATAAAGAAAGCATTAGGCGTGACACCTATAATTCATTAAATAGTCAGTAGAACAACTGGATCTCGTCTTTCCAACTCATATCATTTATAGGTACAACATTTTCTTTCTTTCTTTTCCTTTTCTCTCTCTCTCTTTTTCCGTTATGTGCTGCTTTGTTTCTTTCTTCCGCTTACGCCAGTAAATATGATAGCACCTACTTTTCTAACACCTTCAAACACTGTTCAACTTTGGCTTTGCTACCGATATGCCAATATGTTGTTGTCATAATGAACTGAGATTTCCTTAATCTATGTAGAATTTTATTTATTGATAATGTACTAACTGGATGCCATACTGTAGTAAAAATGCTGAGAATTCCATTCTGTATCACAAGTACTGTTTTGGAATAAAGCAAATTATTATTATTAAAATTCCAACCTAACAGCTGAATAGTTAACAAACATATTGACCACATAACCTAAAGGTTATTGATTCGATCCCTGGTGAGGCTATGGATGACCACCTCTGAAGATTTTTCCATGGTTTTCGATAGTCCATGTTAAAATCTATGCTGAAAATAACCAAAATCCCTACAAAAAGTGAAATCTGAGTAGCATATTTTTTTCTCACAGAAATAAAAGATTCTCAGGTTCATTTGCTAACAGGCTGACAATACCCTGTTGACGCGACTCAAATTAAGCTGATAAAAACATTTCGAGAAGTAGTTACGTCATTCGACGGGAAAATCTAAGCTGTATTAAGTAACATGCTTACCACATAACCTTACAGATCTTATTTCCACCTCTACGTGAAGGTATTAAGCGAAGACGTGTAAAATAAATATTAACTTAGCCTTGAAGGATAATGGTCTACTTTTTGTGTTCCAGAAGTCAAGACACTGCAAACACAAACACACAAGCAAACAAACCCGCTGAAGGCGAGCTCATAGACCATTGAGCCACTGGGACCCGATCCAATAGTCCTTGAAATCTAACTTCTGCCAATTCACGACATGGCGCGACCACTTCGCAATGTCTTCTTAGATGAGTTACTGCCTCATCTTCAACCTGCTGTACCCTACTGGTCACGGCTTCCCACTAGAACCCCAGGTTAACTGCCTGAATAGGGCCAGTCACTAGTGAGCATCAGATTAATTTTCAAGTATTGGTTTGGTAGGGATTTTGTTTAATTGCATGGGGGATTTCATCATGAGCTGACATCAGTTAGAGAACCACCGGAAAACCTGGGAGTACTGGTGGGCGCGTACTGTTGAAGAGTCCCAAACTAGGACGAAACAGCTGTCCAGTACTCCCAGGTTTTCCGGTGGTTCTCTAACTGATGTCAGCTCATGATGAAATCCTCCATGCAATTAAACAAAATCCCTACCAAACCAATACTTGAAAAAACCCGCTGAAGTTCAATAATCATGCTGTAGATTGGCCAAAGTTGTAGATTTATAGTTTTCATTTGTGATAACCAACCATTAAGTTATTGCTTTATAAACTTATTCTACATCAAGCATTTCTATGTATGCAGGTGTGTGTCTGCGTGTTTGTGTATATCTCCGACTTCTAAATTCTCTTCCGTTCCCAAATACATGGCCTGGTTTATTATTATTATTATTACTATTTACAAGTTTGATGTATGTCACTCAGTTTGTTAAGTTTTAAACTAAGAGAATAGAGGGAAGACTGATGGATTATTATGTTGAATTATTTAGACTTCAGGTGTGTGTGTGTGTTGATAAGTTTCTGTTGTAGAAAGTGACGTAATAATAATGATAAGACAACAACGTAAAATTCTCCTATACCGGAATAAAAAGTAATACACACTGTTATGATTACTACTTGGTTAGTCATAGTAAGCAGTAGAATTCATAAGATATGTTTCTTCTTATTTGGGACTCATCAGCCAGCGGATATATGTGCATTCTCATTGACTGACTGGTTTCAACATAGAACTTTACACAGATGTCCGCCAGTTCAAGTTGCCACACTCCCTACATGCACCATACAAAGCAAGAGGAGAGTGTAAACAGAGATTCAAAAGATAGCGAGACAGAGAGAGATAATAAACAAAAGTGTCAGTGAGGAAAAACGAATACTAGGAATACAGAAGAACAATAGATTTTTATTCGATGACATGACAAATGACAGAGAGTGAATGCATCTTCGCCAGCCATCACCGAGAAAGACGATTTTCAGCCATATCACCAGTTGTCTCTAGCCTTCATTGGTTTTTACCATCCCGAAGACCTTAACCAATCAGGAAGCCAGTCTACACCCTACGTGACTGACTGACTGCTGCTGGCTTAAACTACTGTTTGTATTTGATTGACTGATGAATCCATGTTTTGGTTTGACCACCACTAGCTAACTCTTTTCCAATCTGCCCCATCCTCTGTCAGTCAGGCACGCATGCACAGCAACACATGTTGTAACCATCTCACTCAATCAATCCCCTCTTTACCTAGTACTCGACCAACGCCTATCCTCATTATTACTCACCCTATTACACCTACCACCTAAGACGGGAGATAGATAGAAGGCAGACACCTATAATCAAGGACAGCTAGTCGAACCTTTCATGTCTTCCACTCTTAATGGCCATGTCTCGCTCACAGCCATAAAGGAGGAGGTGGGAGCAAACTTCTGGTGTACAGTACACGCGTCCTTTGGTCGGTAGCCAGCCGGCCAGCCAGCCAGCCGGATATCACGTCTAGTGAGCCAGATGCTAAACGAGCCTTTCCACTGGGTGAGATCATATTCCCAATGAAACCGGAACCCAACAGTCAGAGATTTTGAAACACTAAAGTGTTAACAATGAGTTTTTGTATTTGCAGTGCAGCGTGTTGACTTCCAGTTTTAATGGGAGACATGGCCTCTGAATGGATAGTAGACTGAAGTCGCAGTAAAGACATCAGCTTTAGTAGGATGAAGATGTATCTAGCTGATGTGTCCTATATGTAGGATGAAACACACATATTGAATTGTATTTTCTAGGCTACAGCTTATTGGTCTCGAGATGTACGAATTGCAGCCACTGGATTTTTGGGTTCTGAACCCGTTTCACCAGAAGGAATTTGGGGAATCAGGTTAGAGTATTTGTAATACTCATATAAAATAGGCGGGGCTCATTTCCATTTACAGGGAAATACTAGTGGGATCACTGAGTACATTTTCATCGATCTTTTCTGAGTATTTTTTTTATATACCATCTGTCAAACATGATACGACCATTAATACACTTGGTAATTTGTGTTAACCAACTTCTTACCTAGTCATATTGCCAGCCTACTGTTATAATCACTATCGGCAACAACAACAACGACGACACGATACTATACCACAGAACACCGCCCACGACACAAGAATACAAGAAAACAGACCGTTGACGTGGAGAACTTTTACTGTCTCGAATCAACAGCGAAAAGGATTGACAGCAACTGGGTATATATATATACACATATATATGCTTTAAATGGCCTTGAGAGACACTAATTACATTGATAAGTTAAAACAGTCGACAACCAATAGGGTTCCAAGATCATAAGTGTGTGTGTGTGGAGGGGTGGAGGAATACAAACAACCCTGTAATGTAAAGGTAAATGCAGTATTTTAGAGAAACTAGGCCTATATAAAAAAAAAACTTTATTAACTGAGTAAGCCAAAAAATTGGAAAATTCGTGACTAGTGAGTTTTAGCAACTCAATTGGGTATGGGGATGAATACTTATTGACATGGCAAAAGTTAGTATTCATGAGCATTAAGTTCCATCCTAAGCCATAGGATCCATCTCTGGTGGTGTGATCATGGTCGAAGAAGGAGAATTTTGAAGAATTCCGAATTAGGACGAAACACCTCTTTTTCCAGTATTTCCAGATTTT